TTTAGTCAAGAAACAGATTTAAACAAAATATAACTACAGTGAAAATATCTAGAATAGGCAAATTCAGAGACAGAAAACAGATTAGAGGTTACCAGGGCCTGGGGAGGAGTTATTACTTGATGGATACAGAATTTCTGTTTGCGGTGATGGAAAATTTTGGGAACAGGTAGTGGTCATGTTTAGGCAATGCTATAAATGCAATTAATGACACTAAGTTGTAGACTTAAAGTGGTTAAAATGGCAACTTTTATGTTATTTCTTTCTAGCACAATAAAAAAAATAGAAACATGTAAGAGTGAAGCCCAGTGCTGAAGGGTCTTCCGTCTCTAAGCCCTCGTGCTTCCCTGTGACCAGACATACAGAGATTTCCCCCCACTTTCATAGTTGAACAGTTCATATAATTTGGCAAATGATACCATGCGCTTTATCAGAGACATAAAGGCACCACTTTATCGATGGGTAAATTGGTCAATTTCTGTTTGACTCATCACCATCACAATTTTCCTCTATCATTAGTCAGAATTCTGAATAAATAATGATTGTAAATATGACTTCATTTTACGATGTCTAGAGCGAGAACCAGGGCGGAAGTTGGATCAGCTTTATAGAAGCTTTACTGGAGCCCTGGCCTGCTTGGTCAGCGGTTAGAGCGCCGGTCCGCGGACCAGAGTCACGGGTTTGAGTCCCGTCAAGGGCATGTACCTCGGTTGCGGTTTGGTCCTCAGCCCTGGTCGGGGTCGTGTGGGAGGCAACCAGTCAGAGAGACACATCGATGTTTCTCTCTCTCTCTCTCCCTCCCATTCTATCTGAAGATAAATGGAGAAATATCCTCGGTGAGGATTTGAAAAAAAAAAAGAGCTTTATGGAAGCACTGATTACTCCAGAAACAGGCTGTATAGAGACATATGGAGGTTAAGATACCCTGTACACTGAGTTGTGAACATAGTGAGTTTTTCCTAATTTTATAGAAACTGTATTGTTTACTCAGGTTTTCATATTTTAGAAATAAATACTTACCTGCCTTGCTATAGGAAGAACAAAATAAGACAATTCTGTAACTTAATTAATAGACATTTTAAATTAATGGTATATCTAAAGATCTCGAGGGTTTATCATTACTCTGTACTTAAAGTCATCGTTTTATACATGCTTTAAATAAAAATGCATCGTCTGTTCCCTGCTGAAAGGTTCCATTTCTGGGGCCAGGCTACACTCAGAATTGATAACCTACGGCTTACGTTTACCACTCTCGGCCGCTCTCATCGTTAAAGAGTAGACAGTAAAATTGCATTCTTAGTTACAAATGAGCAACATAGGACTACTAGAGATAAAATCGTCTATTATTCCTTCAAATATTGGGAAATAATTTCCAGTGTGCACTGACACAGGATCCCTGTTTCTATGACAACAGTGCCACTGGCCATCAGGTTCCGTCCGTGCTGAAGCCTCACATGTCACACCGAGGGTCTAACGAGCGGGCACATCTCGCTCTGGACCCCCGGACACTGAAAGTGTTCCTGATATTATGGAGAGTTGACTTTTTTTTTTTTTTTTTAAAGGGAATTAAAGTGATTTCTCTAAAGCTATTAGTGTTGGTGACATTGAGAATACAAAATTAAGACTTGTTTCCAGTCCCATTTCTACATGTCAGATAAAACTTTCACAGAATCTTTTTTATTTTTATTTTCATTTTTGCTAATCCTCAGCTCAGGATATTTTCCAATTGGTTTTTAAATAGAGGGGAAGGGAGGGAGGAGGTGAGAGAGAAATATCGATGTGAGAGACACACTGATTGGCTGCCTCCCAGAAGACTCTGACTGGGAGCGGGAAATGAACCTACAATCCAGGTACGCGCCCTTGACTGGGAATCGAACCCACAACCCCCTGTCTGGGGGCTGATACTCTTAACTGCTGAGCTAAACCGGCCAGGGCGAGAATCTTATATTTTTTATTTCATTTTCTTACCTTTGATAGCTCAATTATATATATAAAATGTTCCACTGTACTGAAATTAATGATTTTTGTTTCTAGGAGTCCCACTTATGTCAGTAATATAAGTACTTATATACATATACCTAAACTACAGAAATTAAAATCAGAGCGACCCAGCGCGGAGCCAGGCGGAGAGGTGAGAGCCAGCTGCTGGGAGTCCTGACATCCACTTGGAGGTGAGTATGAGGGGCCCTCCCCTGCAGTGAGCCTGTGACCGCCTGGCCACACTCCTTGGCTGCCCTGAAATTCAGAGAGGCCACAGGCTCTACTCTTGGGCCACTAGAGGCACTATGACAGCTTAGAATAAGGACTGTGTTACTGAGAATTCTTTAATACTCACTTGAATAATGTTTGGCCTCTACAAAGTCAAGTTCATCCTTAAATCATCAACTAAAAAAAAACCAAACAAACAAAACAAAAAACCTTCCTCCACAGATTAACTGTATAAATAAGAGAACGTGTTTGGTTTATTTTTAAAAAAAACCAACATTATCTTCTAAAATACTAAAGCTGCCAGAAAAACGGGCTGTTGAAATTAGAGATCTGACATATTAAGCACAAACACTCCCATCTATTTTTGTAAAGATGGAATTCGATTAGTCAATCACTGGATGGCCCGGTTTCGGTTATTAAATGATCTGCGAATTTACAAATTCTGTAATTCATACTTTTCATCAAGCCAGACAGGGCTAACCTAACTAGGCCAGAAGAGGACATTTTATTCTACCTTGAAAAGTGGGACCCACTTTCTCACGCACACGTTGCCTGGTCTGTTAACTCCGTCGGCAGCAGTCAGAGTTCCCGGGGGTGTGGCCGAACAGCCAGGACGGAGCGGGGAGCCCGCCGGCTGTCACCAGCGGCCGAGTTCTGCACAGGCGCCGCCACTCAGAGGTGCCAGCCACCAATTCAGAAACACGCTTTTCTCCGTCTCTCAGAACGGGTCAGGCTCAGGGGACTGACTCATGCTTCTCCAAACCCACAAGGGGCTGATTTAAAAGCCAGAACACCAGCTGATTAATTTACAACGGGAGATGGGCCTGGCTCAGGGATCTGGGCAGGGTGTTCTAACGTAAGGAACAGCCCCCACAGGTCAGGGCCACCCGGGGGACCAAATTAAAGAGCAGACGGCTCGGGCTGGCAAAGATTCAAAGCAAAGGGAGCCGGATCTCCTCAAGAGGAACTTCCATCGAGCTACGGAAGCCTCATTAGACAGACTGCACTCCTCGACGGCACACGTTTCTAGGGGGCGATGCCTGATGAGAATCAGAGCGGCGCTGGCCCACACCCCGATGCGCTCCTAACCCAGAGTCCCCAGACCGTGGGCCGAGCAGCCCTCCACTCTCCCAGGTGCGTGACAGGCAGCAGATCGACCCTCATCGCTGTCTCCTGAGAGACGCATGGAGGAGGGACATCTGCTATCTGTTGGGTATGGGCGGTTTCACCTGCCCTCATTCCGGAGTACCAGGGGCACCTGAGCTGAGCACAGTGTGTCCAATGACAGAACAGCACGAGTCGTTCCGGTGGAATCAGCCTGCCACCCCCCACCCCCACCACCACCTGGGCAGAGTCTCGAAGGCTGGAGAGCACAGGTGCACACCTAGCTGTGGAACATCCACACAGCAGCAAGAGTCTCATTTACATTTCCCAGCAGGCGGCACATGAATGTGGTTCTGTCCACTGGCGGGACCTTCTGGTTTTCTTATGGTGGTAAAACACGCGGCACATGAAATGGACCGGGTTACCCGTTGTTAGAGTGCACGGTTCATTGGCGTTAAGCCCATTCACAGTGCTGGGCAACCATCCCCACCATCCATCTGCAGAACTCTTTCCTCTTGGAAAACTGGACCTCTGTACCCCTGAACAATGAGTCCCCGTTCCACGCCCCCGCCCCTGGCAATCACCATTGGACTTTCTGTCTCCATGAGGTTGACCTCCTACACACGGAATCAGGTAGAGTTTGTGTTTTAGTGACGGGCTTACTTCACTCAGCCTAATGTTCCCCGGGTTACCCAGGCGGTGGCATGTGTCAGGATTTCTGTTTCCCAAGGCCGGGTAGTGCTCCACTGTGCGCTAGAGAAGCACTGTGTTCATCCATTCACCCTCCGAAGGGCACCTGGGTGGCTTCCACTCTGGCTGTTGTGATGTGTTGCTGTGAACATGGGTGTGCAAATATCTGCTCAAGGCCCTGCTTTCGAGTCTCTGGGGGTAAACAGCCAGAAGCGCACTGCTGGGTCACAAGGTAATTCTGTTTTTAACTTTTTGAGGAACCTCCATCTTGTTTTTCAGAGTAACTGTACTGTTTTACATTCCCAGTTTCTCTCCATCCTCGCCAACATGTGCTATTTTCCTTTGCTTTTGTGGTTGTCGTTGTGTGTGTGTGTGTGTGTGTGTGTGTGTGTGTGTAATGGTAGCCATTTTAGTGGGTGTGAGGTAGATTTGGGGGAACCTTTTAAATACATTTCAAATTACTCACGTTCCAAAATCCTAACTCGGGGCTTCAGCATCCTCAACTCCCAGGAGCTGCTCTGACAGCCTTATCACTGCCGCTCACGCGTGGTCCAGGAAGCAGGGGCCGTGGGTCCCCTGGGAGCTCAGGACAGCTAAGCGCCTGCCCAGGAGCAGCGGGCCGGGCCCAGGCTCCGTCCTCTGACCGCGCTTCCACTGGGCTCTGCGGCCACGCAGAGACAGCTCTTGGACTAAAAGAAGCTCTGGAAGGCTGGGTTCTGGCCCAGGAGGCTGACCATGGCTGGTCTACTGCCAACCTCCCAGGCACTGCCCGGCCTGTCCCTCAGGCCGTCCTCTGAGCTCCATCGTGGCCGCCGAGACAGCAGAGGCCCGGGGGGCGGACTCAGCGCAGCTGGTCTGAGAGGCGGGCTGCCCCAGAGGAAGAATGGGGTTGAGGAGTTAGAAGCAGCTGAGCCTGGTTCACAAGTACTCAAACGACTGCTCAAAGATTGGTTTTCCTCTCCTCACATACACACTCTGGCAGCAAATGGCTGGGGCGGTACCTGCAGTGGGAGCCGAACTCGCGGCGGCTTCCTCACACAGCCCAAGGTATTCGCTAACGATCCGACTCAGGTGCTGGTAGGCAACATCCAGATCATCTGCAGTGGATGAGAGAGTGTGGTTTAAAGCGACAGAATCCTATCAAAATGTAGTCCATCTGCAGCCATTGACGGTCATGATTTTTTAGCTCCATTTAATTTTATGAATATTGCAGTAAGCAGAGGTCTAAGATGACTCCACCACTGGGCAGGACCTGCTAACATCCTAGGACTGAGGACAAACAGCAGACAGCAAACAAGGAAACAGGGTCCTCCACCCCACGGCCACAAGTAACTGCTCTCAGCCAACAATGACAATATACTTCGGAGTGGATTTTTCCCTGGTGACCTCCAAAAGTAAAGCTTTGCTGAAAATGACTAACCTGTATTGACCACTGCATCGAAATAGCCCGGCCACTTCTGGTTAATTTTAATATATAGGTCCACTCTGGAGATGGCATGTTCAATCTCTGTGCGACTGAACAACCCTGTCCTCCGCAAGTGTCCCTCGTACTTTATCTTGTTCATGGGCAGCACCAGGATATACCGAGGCTCAAAGTAGGTGTGCTTCAAGCTTCTTATGCCCTACACATTTTTAAAAAAGATAATAAATTAGAAACAGATACACGATTTAGAAATCATGTTGATGTCTGACAACATAAGCTATAAGTAGTATTACACTGAAAGATTTCTTTTAGCTGTATAATTAGCTATTATTTCCCTATAAATAATTCAAGATTGAGTTTCTTCTCCTTGTTCATCAAATATTAAAGTATCATTGGAAATATAAGAATTCATTCTACCTGGTATCTTCTAACTAATTATTCTAATGAATATAACTGTCCAAAGAGAAAATTGCTAGATACAAATAGGTACACTCACTGCAGTACAGCATCATTTTTAAAAAACTATGTTTTTATGGATTTTTTTAGGGAGAGAGAGAGAGAGAAATATTGATGTGAGAGAGAAACACTGATGTGAGAGAAAAACATCAATTGGTTGCCTCCTATACACACCCCAACTGGGGACCGAACCCACAACCTGAGCATGTGCCCTGACTGGGAATCAAACTGGCAACCTTTTGGTGCACAAGATGACGTTCAACCAACTGAGCCATAATGGCCAGGACAGTCTGCATCTTTGTCACTGAAAAGCAATTTCCATGCCACATTTCAAAAGGCATCCATCTTGGCAGAACGAAGAGATCTTACCAGAGAGAAAAGGCTCCTCTGTTACCCTTTCGTCATCTCCTTGGGACACTTCCTGCTCCTCAACCAGGCACCTGCTTGGCTGGTTCCTATTACAGCCTCTACCCAGAGCACAAGAAGGCCAAGCTCATGGCACCCCGATGCCGGAGCTGGCGGCAGGGAGCGGCAGCAGGCAGTGGGGGCAGTTGCGTGCAGACCTGGGGGCTGAGTCACGACAGCAGCTCCCCAGTTTCTGCAGACTCGTGCAAACCCTCACCGGAGCACCGGCTCCTCACTGGCAAAGTGAAAGAGCAATTCCAAGTGGACCCTACAGTTCCTCCCAGCTCAATCCTACCACCAACAGTTTAACTCCGTGTTCAAAATCTTTCTGTAAAAATTCAGGGGAAAGTAATACAGGCCGTTTTTAAAAACAATTTCTAAAAGAGTTGATGACAAGAGCGTTTGGGGGAAATCCTTGTGCTGGAGAGAAACGGGAAAATAAAGCCTGGTTTACGGACGCCCCCTCTTGGAAACGAGCAAGAGAAAGCTCGGAGGGGACATCGGCAGGAGAAAGCTCGGAGGGACATCGGCAGGAGAAAGCTCGGAGGGGACATCGGCAGGAGAAAGCTCCGAGGGGACATCGGCAGGAGAAAGCTCGGAGGGGACATCGGCAGGAGAAAGCTCGGAGGGACATCGGCAGGAGAAAGCTCCGAGGGGACATCGGCAGGAGAAAGCTCGGAGGGGACATCGGCAGGAGAAAGCTCGGAGGGGACATCGGCAGGAGAAAGCTCGGAGGGGACATCGGCAGGAGAAAGCTCGGAGGGGACATCGGCAGGAGAAAGCTCGGAGGGGACATCGGCAGGAGAAAGCTCGGAGGGACATCGGCAGGAGAAAGCTCGGAGGGACATCGGCAGGAGAAAGCTCGGAGGGGACATCGGCAAACCAGGGCCGAGCACTCAGAGCCGCTGAATGGCAAACAGGTGAACACGGGGACCTGGAGAGTTTTTGTACTTAAAAATGCATCAGTTTGTGTTTCTTCCTTGTCCAAGGAAAACATTTTTTGGAAAAGGCCTGTTTTGTTTTGTTTTTCTTCTTAGCATGGAAACCTCCTTAAAGATGCAAAACCAGTCCCACGCAGAAAGATAAGACTTGCAGAAGTTTGAAGTTAGGAAAAGGAAGGAGCCGGAAGCAACGCGACCTGTGCCACTGAACACAAGGAGCCGAACAGGAACCAAATCTCCTGCTCCGCTCCGTGAAGCTACGAGGAAACGTCGTAAAGACCGAGTCAATGGTAAAGGGATGCTAGACGTGTCCAGATTTGGCTTTCTGCTAATGGAATCATTTTTTTAAAACATTTTTTTGTTTATTGATTTTGAAGGAAGAGGGAGAGAGATAGAAACATCGAATGGCCGCATCTCGCATGCCCCCCACTGGGGGTCTGGCCCACAACCTGGGCATGTGTCCTGACCGGGATCGAACCGGTGACTTCTTGGTGCCTGGGTCGATGCTCAACCATGAGCCACACCGGCTGGGTGGAATCATTTTTATTATATATATTTTTCTGATGACAAAAGTGTTAGTCTGTGGAAGTAACTTGAAAATGAAAACAATCAATTGTCCTTGAAGGTTCGAATCGTTAATAAAGCCCTAATTTGTGAAACACATGAGTGGAATATTCATGCTTTTACTCTGGGTCTTCATTTTGGAGAAACTTGTGTATACTTGAAGACAGAAGATTCGCTCAGGGGATGGGGTGTGGGGCAGAGAGAACACCTCCTGATTCTGCAAGTCTAACTTGTTAAACGGGTGAAAATATCGCGACCAGGCGAACAAGCGGTTAGACGGCGGCACAGCCCACATGCCTCCTGTGAAGAACGAAGGGACGAGGTCACCTGTGCGGGCTGCCACTGTCCTGAGGGGTCAGGGAACCAGTCCCACACCCTGTAAGAACCAGGCTTTGTCTAATATCACTTCATAGAGACAGAGCCCCGGCTCTCAAAAGAAAAGGATAATTTAGTGAGAAAATAGAAAATAAACCTTGAGTGACAGCTCTATTTATAATACATGTAATACATTTATTATGTATTACATTTCTTGTGCTGTAATCTAATTCCTGTCATTTAATTTTTCATGAGTCTTGCCTGCCACATACTAATTGCAAACTTAAAACCTCACATTTTCATAGGCATTCCTCATTCACCCACAGTGAAGCCCCCCAACCCCAAACATAAATATACAAACACACACACACATTCAAGAAGGAAAAACACTTACTTCTATTTCCATGTGAACACAGGTTGCTAACCCATCTCTGGCGATCCCTTCTATGGTGTCCCTGCTTAATCCATAATAGTGATCACCATAATTAAACGTTAGAATGAATTTCCCCTGGAATTTGAGAAGTACGAAGGTTTTCATATAACAGCTGCCATAATGAAACTTCATATAAAGAAAATTATTTGATGTCTTACTTTTTTATATGATTCCATAATATTTACCAATATTAGCAATTGCGTAAGAATGGCAATGGGCCTATAAACATTAATAACAAACCGTGGCGGAAAAAAAAAAATTAGGTTTTTGGAAATAACATGCTGACAAATGTTAGAGAGCATGAAATGTGAAGCAGGTCATTTTGCTTCCTTACCCGCTTCCTGCCAAACCTGCTCCACAGACCTTCGTCAGAGAGACAGACACCTACAGCTCGCCCTGTGCCCCGGCGGCACACCTGGGAGCCCAGAAAAGCTTCCATTCTCAAAAGCTTGCACCCCCAGGTAAGCCCGGAGGCCGTGAATTACAGGCACATCCCGGAAAGACCTTTGCGTGCTGAGATGAGCCACGAGAAACAGCCTTATCTTGCTTTTCCTTATAAAGGTGGCTTTTTAAAAAAAAATTTGTTTTCTTTATTGATATTTTTAGAGAAAGAGGAAAAGAGAGGGAGAGAGATAGAAACATCCATGAGAGAGAACACTGACTAGCTGCCTCCTGCACGCCCCCCACTGGGGATTTGGCCCACAACCTGGGCTCGTGCCCCGACCAGGAATCGAACCGGCGACTTCTTGGTGCCTGGGTCGACAATCAGCCACTGAGCCACACATAAAGGTGGTTTTTTACAGAAACTGCGCACACAGTCAGCTGTGTGTCCTGCAGCAGCCATCTGAAGCCACCTCACAACTGGCTGGCTTTTCCTGTGACAACACCGCCGCTGTGAAACCACTAGGTCTCACCGAAGCTGGGAGGCTGATGGCAACAGAAGGAATAAAAATGCGGGCAACTCTGACTCCTCATTTGCATGATTTTGAAATAAATACTGAAGTGAAACTGGCAAGGCTGATCCCATCGGTGGCACCATCCTCACCGAGAACAGGGCAGTTAGGAGTCTTCCACGCTGCCCGGGCCTCCTGAACCCAGGTGGCCCAGAGATGGGTGGGGACAGGCGGGGCTCTCTCCGGGCAGTGTTAGAGACCAGGCAGGAGACACGATGTCTCTAGGCTGGGGTGGGCCTCTGAGGGATGTGTCTGCTGCGAAAGACGAGGACAACCCACCAGCTCCCAGTGCGAAGAAGTTTATGTCACACATTCCAAAAACTCAACAATAAGTATCCTTAATAATTGACGCCATCGGTCACACGCCCTCTTTGTTCTGTGGAACAAATGCTGTGACTCCTTTTCTTTTAATCTATGTATTATATCCAGATAGATAGATAGATAGATAGATGGATGAATAGATAGATAGATGGATAGATAGATAGCTGAATTTTCTGTCAGGTATGCACTTTATCTTATTCACTGTGATTCGCCCTGTTTTCAAAATGTACACTTGAGCCGGTTTTAAGATATATACTATGAGTTTGTTTACTTGTGGGGACAAGGGCCGCCCTCTGTGGATCCCAAATACATTTTCTGGAAGGATGTGGGGTGGCGAGGACTCCTGCACTGTACTTATGTATATAAAACGTAAGAATTAAGATTAAGTGATCTTCCAGCTAGCTTCTGGCTAGTGATACTTCTTTCACTTCTCCCTGCCTTTGAATTTCTTAATAAATAGCAATAATCATATCTCAGGAGCTCCAGATCTGTGGTCTCATCTGCACGAGAGGACGTGGTAAGTGACTGTGTCTGTGGGCACATCGGGGATGATCCGTGGCGGGGAGCCTGTGTGTGCGCGTGTATGGGAGGGTGTGTGGAGATGGGGTGTGCCTGGGTTGTCTGTCAAGGGGGGCTGTCAATGGGCGGGTGTCCTGTAGAGGCGGCTCTGTGTACAGAAGGCCGAGTGTGTGGACGTGATCGGCAAAGCTGACAACGTGTCATGAGTTTACAGTCTCTGGGCTTGTCTCTCTTCATAAAACAGTCTTGAGCTCACTTTAAAGTTAAGAGAAGGACTTTGGAAGAAAAACTCAAGTTGAGGAACTAACATTACACTGAAGTAATATATGTCAGCAGAAGAGGTGAAAATGAGTCATTTTTTCACACACGCGCATTTCTGCAGAGGGAATGAAACTAGGAGACTAAATGCAGTGAGCAGTGCGGTGATCTCCTCGACGAGAACGGCTCCCGACTTGACTGCAGGCATGACACGGGATGGCACATCAGGGGAGCACCTGGGTACTGAGAGCAGAGGCACCGATCCGAGAAAAATGCCTCAGACTCTAACCAGAGAAAGCAACATTGATTTTGGGAACTACTGTCTTTCAACCCAAAGAGTCTTAAGAGAATGCTTCTTACTAATAACAAGATAACGCCTCAGATCTCTATTAAAGCTTTTAGAAATATAAAGTCCCAGAGCACTCTTGACACATTAAACTGAACTGTCAAAACAGAGCCCTAGGAGAGAAAATTACAAAGAATTTCCAAGCTGCGCTTCTGACAAGGTCAGAGGGAAAATGGCCCAGGGACGATAAATAAGACTCTCTCGCATGGGCTTCTGTGCGAATGTAAGAGAAGACAGGTTCCGTGTGTGCAGATGGCTATTGCAATTTAGACTCGTAGAAACTGCAGAGTCTGGGCTTCAGTGTTCCAGGCTGTGTGCACTGAGGTATAAGCCAGGTCCGCTGTGTGGGGCTCGGGGCACAGAAAGGAAGGAGGAAGGGGGTGGGGGAAGAGGAGAGGGAGGATGTAGCTATAGGAGCATCACTGGTTGGGTGACCATCTTTCAAAAGCAGAGAAACATCGACTCATCCTCAATCTGGTCCTTTGGCAGGTTTCACAAAAACAAAAAGGATGTAGGGTTCGTTTGGTGATGGAGAGAATGGTAGTATAAACAAAACTAAGACCCTTGGTGAAGAGAAAATAAAAGGCTCACAGAGTCATTGGTAGTGACGAAGACACGAGACAGTCTTCCAGTTTCACTGAAGTCATGGGTGGATATGCCCTGACAGTAGCATGTACTGACAGGTACAGCAAACTAGGGTTGTGCGCATCCCCTTTGCAGGTGAAAGCCAAGCGAGAATTACCTTTGAAAGGACCTCAGCAACACGGGTGTCATAAATTACTGCTGATTAGGTGATCAGGGTCTCAGGGGGGAGTGTTTTGGGTCCGGCGGCCCAGAGCTCCTACGGAGCAGACGAATGCAGGGCAGTCAGCCTCACACTGTAAAGACACAGCCCTCAGAGAAACTGGGCATCTTTTCCAGGCGAGTAACAAGGGCTTCCAGGTGCACCAGCGAACTGGTTGGCCTCCAGGACTCAGAACATCTCAAACAGGATGTCACAGTGGACGGTTGAGGCTGGACACGAGTCCGGGACAGGGCGGCTGAATGGAGCACACCATGATGGAGTGGTGCTTAAGGTCGAAACAATGAGAAAACATCACTGGTAGCAAACCAAGGAGGGGGTCTCTGGTCAGAACACCCCACCCCCTAAAATGCTCAATTTGCAAGCTCCATGTATCACATCAGGTCTGTGGGAATGATCTGACTTGAGTAAAATCTCATTAATAACAGGAGCACCTGATAAAGACCGATCACAAGAACTCGTCACAGTGCTTTTACTTCTATTTTCTTAAAACATCTCCTCATCAGTCTTACTGAACATTTACAATATTTTCTCCAAAGTCATAAAATAAAAGCAGCATGTGAACAAGAATGGATTACGTGGATTAAGGAAAAGCAACCTGATAAGAATACGTTTCTCATAACAAACACAATATTTAATTGTTCTTTTTTTAAATCACTATTTTCTAATATTTCTACCAGAGCACATTTATGTTTTGTGCAGTGAAAATAAAGGAGCACGTTCTTACCATGTTTACCATTCCATTAAAAACTTCTAGGGAGACGAAGTTGTAATCAACGCGATCCCCTTCTCCAAAGTAAGGGGGTCTCGTGGTGTGACAGGCCCTGAAAACAGAAAATATGTCATCTAGTCTGCATCTCGCAACTTGAAATTCAGCATGGAAATGAGTCCAGTGTGAGGGATATTTGAAGAGAATGGAAATTGGCCCAGAAAGCATACACGATAAAGTAACATAGCAGTGAAACCCCTGTGGTTTTGAAATTCCGCTGTATCTATAGGGCTGATACAAGGTGTGGATTATCAACACCAATATTTTTACTCGTTGTTATTTATGACCTTCTGAACCACCTCCTCCGCTATCACATAATAATGCTCTGGGAAGTATAACAATAGTTATTACTTACATGTTTTCCACCCAAGTGTCTTCACGTGGTCTCCGAGCTGTGGGCATTTTCTGCGTGTTCCTCTCTCATCCCTCCACCTGGCTAGCCCACCTGTCTTCCAGGACTCGGTTTAAGCGTCACCCCCTGAAAAGCCTTTCTTGAGCCCCTGTGGCTGGATTATGTGCCCCCCCCCCTTTACTCTTCACCTGAGGATATTTGTCTATTTATCTTCAGATAGAGGGAGAGGGAGAGAGAGAGAAACATCAATGTTAGAGAGACACATGGACTGGTTGCCTCCCACACAACCCTGACCAGGGCTGGGGATGAATCACAACTGAGGTACATGCCCTTGGCCAGAATTGAACCCACGACTCACTGGTCCGTGTATACCCCTTCTCTTTACACTCCTATCACCTCGGTGCCTTCGCCAGCTGCACCCCAGTTCCTCGCTCAGCACCCACCTCCCCTGCTGCTTGGCCGCTGAGCTGCCTGTATACACCAGCACTGTAACCTCCTTGGGGACCCATGGTCCCGATGCTGACCAGAATCCTCAGCTCAAACAGAGAGGCCTTTTCTGACCACTGTCTGACACAGCATTGCCACTCCACACCCCGACCCCTACTCTCTCACCACAGCCGCCTGCCTGTGCCTACGTGTCAGGGTTCTCCTATCTTCCCCAGCAGGACACGGGGACCGCGGGGCGAGGATCTATCCTGTTCCCCTTGTTTGCGCACCCCAGTGCCTGGTCCGTAGAGGGCACCCACTACGTGTCTGTAACATGAGGACATGCAGCGTGTGAAGCGGACAACGGCTGTGATGAGCTCCATTTTACAGATGACTTGTCCGAGGCCACACACCGGACCAGTGTCGGTCCCAGAACTAACTGTGGGGGTCCCCACCAGCCAGGACTCTTGACGTCAGACGAGTCTGACTTCTCAATGTTAACTCCTGGGAATGCAAACGGATGTGTAGATTATCCTGTAGGCTTAGAATAGCCCTGATTGTATTTTACAGATGGTGAGACTCAGGCACAGCAATGAAGTAACCTGACTGAGTAGCGAGGCCAGGAGGACACCTGCGCCAATCCCTCGGTTCCTTGTAGCATCAGACATAGAGTGTAAAGTCACACCCTCCCAGGCCTCTCCACTACACAGTCAAAAACAAATTTTCATCTTCCATACCACTGCTCACCGTCCATTATAATCGCACTAACTGCACGGCCCTGGCCAGCTGGCTCGGTTGGCTGCAGCACTGTCCTGTACACTGAAAGGCTGCGGGTTTGATTCCTAGTGTGAGCACACACCTGGGTTTCGAGTTCAAACCTGAGTTGGAGTGCATACAACAGGCAACCAATCGATGTTTCTCTCTTTTTCCCTTCCTCTCTCTCTAAAATCAATAAAAAAACACATCCTTGGGTGAGGATTAGAAAAAAAAAAGGTTAACTGCATTAGTAAATATTAAGGTCTTAATGTCACATTCAAATTGTATCCTCAGGAAAGAGAGGCCATTCTAAGAGAATCCTGTCCAACATCCTGACATTTGTCCTGTTGTTTGAATACACCGGCATCTCCCCACACACCTGGCAGGGACCTGAGACCCTCTGTCCTGGTGTCCTTGGTGGTCAGGAAACACAGACCAGCGACTCGGCATCAAACCCTTCCGTAGCCTTTGCACACTGCGCTGAGTCCGCACGGCCAAGAAGAAACGTGGCAGGCAGTTGAGAATTTGTAAGGGGAGACGCAGCAAAGAAGCAATGCGGTGCTTCTAGGCAGGGGATGAAGACGGGGCTTCGTTGGAGTGGAGAATGCTGACGGAACCTACACCCACTGCAGAACCTTCTAGTGAGAAGGACCTAAGATGACCTAAGGTTGTTTTTTTAATCTTCACCCAATGATATTTTTCTACCGATTTTCAGACACAGTGGGAGGGAGAGAGAGAGAGAGAGAAACATTGACGTGAGAGAGATACATCGATTGGCTGCCTCTTGCAGGACCCCGACCAGGGCTGGGGACGAACCGCAACCGAGGCACGTGCGGTTGTCCGGAATCGAACCGGTGACTCTTTGGTCTGCTGGCCGACGCCCTAACTGCCGAGCCAAACCGACCAGGGCAACCCGAGGCTTTCTGAATGTCATCCAATTTTCACACAGAGAAACATTCACTGTGAAGTATGCTGCCCAAATATGGACATTTTAAAAAGAAACACTTCTTTTTAAAGGTGTCACTAAACTTACTTAGAAAGAAATAATACCAAATTTTAGACACAGCAATCAGCTTTGATCATCACCTTTGATATCCTGCCTGTCCCTTGTAAATACAGTTACAACTGTAAGTGAACTTTCCATGAGTCCGTCACTTACTAATTAACTTGCTCATTAAGTCATGGTCAGTTTTAAAGCATGGTTCGTGATGGGAGCCGCGGTCCGTGAGTTGCACCTAACAGACGAAAGAGCTGAGTTAGGCGTTAGCCCCAGGCTTCAACACCAGCCCCACAGTCTGGGTGGGGTAGACATTCTGAAGGCCAAGTCTGCAGCCCGCTGTCACCCAGGGTCCTCACAAACCAAGTACACGGCGAGGAGGAAAGGATCCGGAGGGGAAGGAGTCCAGGAGGCCAGGCCGAACACTGGGGTGTTCGGATACCCAGGGAAACGCAGTGAGAAGAAAACGGTCTCTCAGGAGAGCTGGCAGGGGGATGGGGAAGCAGGAATTTCGTCAGGGTGATTCAGAAGCATGCAGATTTAGAATCGCAGTTCTGACCACACTGCCTCGGAATCAATAAACGTATTATCGGAAACACCGAGGCAGAGGCTTGGCTCGAGCGCATCTAAATCCAGGCACGCCGTACTGTCAGCAAGTGAACTCTTCCAGTGAATGTCCACAAGAGCCCAGGTCTTCCTAGGGCACCTGGTAGGCAAATTAAACTGTTTCCAATACTCGGTGCGCATGATGTGTCACTGAACTGCTGGGCGGAATTTAAGAGGTCACACTGAAGATTCCGGCACATCCTTGTCTGACTACTGAATTCCAGGAAGCCACCACTTCTGACTCGCGCCAGCACCACGGTCACTGCATCCGGACCGGTCCCGTCTCCAGCCCCCCTCCCGCAGGCGGCCGGCCCACAGAAGCGCTCCGCAGTGCAGCTGCAGTCAGGACACCCCCTGCTTAGACACCCTCAGGATCAGCCCCCGTCTTGGCTTTCAAGGCCTGTCTGCCGCCTCCCTTCCTACTTCAAGCTTAGCCCTCCCCAGAGGGCACTTTCAGTTCATCCCTGTGCCCGCCATGCTGCGCAGCACAAGCCGCGCTCCAGCCCACAGCCCTCTGCTCTTCTCTCTCCAGAGGCGTTCACTTCCCTCGTGGCCGCAGCCCCAAGCTGGTTCCTTGTGAGCAGCATGCACCAGGATCGGCTGCACGCTGCCAGGACAGGACCCACGTCTGCGTGTGTCCGCTTTCACCACCAGCACGTTAACACTATGGAAGGCTGAGCGACCTGCCCACGTTTGCAGCATCTGTTTACGCAGACAGGTCCCCCTAGACGGCGTGTAGGTCGCTGTCGCTCATGCCAGCTCTTTTAGCCAAATAGCCGTGGTCTTTTACGTCTGAATTGCGGTGTTAAAAATAAAATATATTTAGTAGTCAGCATCGCAATAGGTTATGCAAACAGAAAGTGCTAGAAAAGAGAGATGTAAGGAAGCACAGAGGTTTTCCTCTCGTGAGTGTTCGGGTCACTTAAGGGGCCGTAAGTCCATGGCACGAACGGGCATGCGGTACTGTTTTGTGTTTCCCGCGTCATCCCGACTCTTCTGGGAAGCCGCTGGTTTGGGTGGTAATGTTAAGGATGGAAACAGAGAGACTCTGAAGGCAGCGAATCTGTACTTCCAGGCCACTCGTAATACAGCTAAAGGACATCCAACCCTCTGCGAAAACCAGGAACAGAGTAAACTCGAACCTAAGACAAGAGCACAGGCTCCCGCCCACACCGACATGTATCACACCTCCAGGCATGCTTTTAATGGCCACGCCACTTAGCACACGGAACTTCCAGCAAATGCCTTGGTCTTGGGTCAATGCAATTTCAAGAGGAAGACAAAACACCAGGAGGAAATAAATAACTAGGAGGATAGGGGCATTGGTCCCTACCCTCTGGGGTTGACAGATGAGCCCTGAAAACAGACATTGAACAAACCAATCACAAGCATGATGAATAAGCATTCTAACAGGGGAAATACAGGATTTCATGGAAATGGATAACTGGGGGCTTATCCAGGCGAGAATGGAGAGAGGCAGCCTGGCCCCGAATCTTGGTGAGGAGTTGGTAACCCCTCCCAGAACACGTGACCCAGCGCGCCTCAGCGGTGCATGCCACAAACGGACATGAGGGACAGCCACCAACCACTGGCAACATAATCGGTACCCAAGGTGTGCAAGGAATTCTAATCAGAGAAGGCCTTGGTTCTCTTCACTTCAATTCTCCAAAAGGTTCCAGGCTGATATACTAGCACAATAGTCAGGATACACCCATTTGCCCTGACTTTCCATTCTCTGCATTCCACTCATTTTTTCACAATAGGTTCACTACCCATATATTAGCATAATGGCACTACTATACGTTTTTATTCTAATATTAAGCTTTAATTTATTTCTGTTACTTCAGGGCACTTAAAATATATTAATGAGTAAATTATTCTTTAGTATTTGTATCCTAAGGTTGTTTAAATGAGGAATAGAATTTCAGATCTCTAAATAAATGGACCTGCTTCGAATAGTATTTGCATTGTTTGAACACGTGTGGCTGAAGGGAAGGAACTTGGCTGTAACAGCATTAGGAAATAATTTGCATTTATTTTTCTGGCTGTCCTATATATCTTTGCAGTCACATCCGTAGCTCACGGACAAACACCACTAATCTAAAAGTAATTTCTTTGCCCTACAGAAAAAATAAATAAAATAAAAGAGGATACTAGTTTAAAAGACCACAGTGATCATTCTAAATCAGATTCTCAGAAACTTTTCCAAAGCTGTAAATCCCGCTGAGGGCTTCTTTTGCTTGGTTCTAGTTTTCTGGACATTTCCTGCTCATCTGGGCCTTCAGGGAAGGAATCAGGTAGCAGAGTATCTGTTCCCGAAAGCTGCCCATGTGCTTGCCGGGTGTGGACCTGGGGGAAAGGAGAGGACAGAGTCCTGCTGCCCCCTGGACTTTCCTTCCCCGAAACCTGCCTCCAAGAGGAAGCCTGGCACTGGCCGCTTTGGCTCAACGGTTGGAGCGTTGGCCCCCGAACCAGAGAGTCATGGGTTCAATTCCGGTCAAGGGCACATACCTCAGTTACAGTTGGATCCCTGGCCCTGGTTGGGGTCGTGTGGGAGGCAACCAGTCGATTTCTCTCTCTCTCTCTCTCTCTCTCTCTTTCTCTTTCTCTCTCTCCCCTACTCTGTCTGAGGATAAATGAAAGAATATCCTTGGGTGAAGATTTAAAAAAAAAAAAAGGAGGAAGCCCGGAGTGGAGAGGGAGAGGCTGAGAGCTGGCGGCCGGGGTCCCAGCAGAGAGGGCAGAGGCGGCGTGTCCCCGTGCACAGATCCGCCCAGCACACATCACAACAGTGACCCGTGCTGTCACCGCGCTCAGCAACAGCACGAGCCCACGTTCCAACGCCGCTGGGCTTAATTAAAAACACGTGTCTTTCCTAACCTTGGAGCGTGGTTCCGGCGGGCACAGCATTCAAGTCACACATTTAGAGGGTTACAGTAAACAAAACAGACAGTGTACATCACAGTGTAATAAATGGCAAAGAAGCGGATACGCTCCTCCCTCCCTCCCTCCCTCCCACTCGGAGCTTGCTTCGAATGAGAGCCAAAAGAGCCACGGCCGAGCCTGCGGCCTGACCAGCCCCGACGGACTCACCCGTATCTGAAGTAGGTGCTGAACTGTCTGCAGAGGCGGTGGGCCAGCTCCCGTTTCCCACAGGCTTCCGGGCCAGCCAAGACCAGCAGCGGGTAAGGCGTATCCAGGCTGGGCAGGGTGCTGCAACACAGGGCGGGTCAGTGCCGGGCTGCTGGGGTCGGAGCCGGGGCTAACGCCGGGGTGGGGCCGGCTGCTCCCAGTCACATCAGTCCGGGCCGAGCCCTCGCTGTGTGTAGGCGATGCAGAGCGGGTGGCCTTCCTTTCCAGAGGCAAGCCAGTGGCCACACTATGCCCAAAACAGTATTCACAGCATAGATACCACGGAAAATCCCAATCTGTACAAAGCTAACTTAGCAGTGTTTTTAAAATCAAATACATGGTAAGGCATATTCACTCTTGGTGGATGAAGTAGTCCCCCAGGAATTTCAAAAGGAAGGAAGACTGCCCTCCGAGGGTTCAACTGGAACGTCCCCACCTACTGAATCGGCGACCAGTACGCAGAGAATCGGCAGTAACTGCCACCTCCTCGAGCACGGGCTGTGTGCCAGGCTCTAGTCTAGACGCTCACACGCATGGCCTCATGCAGGCATCGCAGGAAGCCAATGAAGGCACTTCCTGACCCCCCCCCCCCCCCCGCAGCGCAGCGCAGCGCGTGGACACCAAACACAGCGGGTCGGGAACCTGCTCAGAGTAACAGCTGACAAGCGAGCGAGGACACGTGGCTCTAGGCCCGGCTTCCCCCGGAGAACGAGGGTATCGCTAAAATCTCCTGCCACAACCGGAGCTAAAGTGCTGGATTCCACTGACACTAATTATAGAGTAAATATAATATTGTAAACAAACATGCTGAGGTGTGGATTCTACGAGGACGAGGGGTGTGCTCACATGAAAACAGAACTCGAGAGCAACGCCCGTGGGAAATGTGTAACTGACCTGGGCACAAGGTATCTCTACCAACCACAAATCTGTGTGTGTGGGGGGGGGAGCGGTGGGGTGCCATCTGCTGGTCTCAGAGCCAGGGAGCCCCCACAGCCGATGGGCACCCACTGGGAAGCAGGCGGGGTGGCCCACGAATGCTCCCAGCAGCTGGCTCATGACCCCGGACCCGGAACCAGCCCGGATGAACTGCTGAGCTGACTGTGGTGCATACACACCAAGCCACGCTGGGGGCGATCAAAAGAAATAACTGCTGATTCATCCCACTGCTTGGATGAATCTCTGGGGAACAAGGTTAAGTTTTAAAAAGCCAATCCCAAAGGTTTGCTCTACAGCATTCCATTTATATAACTGTCTTGCAGTGACAAGTGTACACAGATGGGGAGCAGGTTACGGGTTGCCAGCGGCTGGGGAGACGAGAAAGGAGGAGGTGGATGTGGCTATGAAAGGGAAGCATGGGGACCCTAGTGACAAACTCTTCTGCGCCCAGCCTGTGCTGCTCACAGGAATCTAGCACGTGATGGACCAGCAAAGACCTAAGCACACACGAGGACACGCCCCAGTGGGAACTCTGACCATGCTGGTGCCGCACCAACATCAGCTCTCTAGGTGTGACATCCTGCTGTAGCTATGCAAGATGTTACCAGTGGGGGACACCGAGAGATACATAGAATTTCTCTGTGTTGTTTCTTTTTTTAAATGTGTTTTTATCAGTTTTTTAGAGAGAGAGGAAGGGAGAGAGAGATAGAAACATTGATGGGAGAGACAAACCGATCGGCCGGCTCCTGCACGCCCCCACTGGGGATCGTGCCCTGACCCAGAACCAAACAGGGACCTCTCCATCCATGGGATGGCACTCAGTCCACTGAGCCACACTGGCCGGGCTCTGAATTGTTTCTTACAACTGCATGTGAATCTAAATGATCTCAAAATAACTTTTTAATGATCAAAGAGAAGAAAAATCTGAGAGAAAGTGACAATTATTAAAAACAGGCAAACGAGACCTTCTTCCTCAAGAAGAAAACCAAAGCAAAAGAACAGCACAAATATTAAAGGCTGCAATTAAAGAGAACTTTCCTGAAATCATAAAATAAAACAGAACTATATCTTGTGAAAGAACACACAACATACGTGAGAATATTAGCCCAGAACGATGAATACTAAGACACAGGCTGGTAAAATTACTGGACTTAGAAAAAGAACCAAAAATTGTTCAACTACAAAAAGGGAACTATGACATGAGGGAAAGAAGATCAGCTCATCATCAGAATTTTGACAGCAATGTTTTGCAGTCGAATAAAGTGAAGTGACATCTTTAATATGTTCAAGGAAAAAAGGATGAACAATGGACTTTATATACTGTCGTAAAAACGTCTTTCAATTCAATGGGCAGAGACTATTATCAACGAGGGATACTGATCCCATAGACCCTCCTAAGGAATCTCCTAGAGAAAGATTCATACAACCAAAATGCCTCAAGAGACATCAATATAAGGGCTGAACATGAGCAATAGATATGTAGTTATCCAGAAAGCTACGACCAAAGGACAGCCATGGAGAACGTGCAGTTGTGACCATATCTGTTCTTACAGTAAAGACAGTACATTATTTTTAAAATGGGGTGTTTGGCACTTACCTAAAATATACACAATAGGCTAATTCATAGAGACAGAAAGTAAATTAGAAGTTACCAGGGACTGGGAGTAGCCGGGAGTTGGGTGTTATTGTTAATTTCTGTTTGGGGCGGTAAAAATGTTTTGGAAATAGATGGTGAGGATGGTTGCTCAACACTGTGAATATAAGTAATGTCACTGAACTGTACACTTTAAAATGGTTAAAGTAGCGAATTTTATGTTATAGATATTTTACCATAATAAAAAATGGGGGGCAGGGGTTTAATGGGAAGAGCATAGGCAACACATGTCCAGTGCTGTCCGTAATCCTGTTGGTGGTGGTGTTGGTGTTGGTATTCTGACACTGCTGTTGCGTAATGTGGGATTTTAGAAACAGAGTGATTATGGGGTGTCCTAATTCCACCCTTTGCACCCTTGGTGTGGAAGGAAAGGAAGGGGTTAAGTAAAAGATCAACTGTAGTCTTGACATTGAACTGCAAGTATCAATCTGCATTGGGGAGGTATTTTATCATCTATTTATAGATTGGTACAGATAGAGCTATCTAGATATCGATTAGATAGACAGAAACAGATTGGACAGGTGTAGACAGATAGGCACAAATGAGATAGAATAGATGAATGTATGGATGGAAGAACGAAGGAAGGAGGGAAGAAAGGAAGGAAATACATATATTTCTAGTCTGTCCACTACAATGCCTAGAAACAATGACCAACCTGAGAGCAAGGATGATCTCTAGCACTCAGATTGTGATTGAAAAATATCATTTCTCGCTAACACAAACCAGGGCTTCTTGGGAAAATGGATTATTTCAAGGCTCGGACAGACTTGCACAGGACGGCCTGGAGAACCCTGTCATTCCGGAGAACTCGGAACTATCAGTGACCACCAGGCCAGAGCCCAGGCTCTGCTGGGCCATTCTAACACTGCATCCTCACCCCAGTCATGGAAGGGGCGGGACAGTGATTTCCCCCAAAATGCAGCAGGCAAGTCATAAGGTCAAGAGTCAGGGTTCCGCCCTGGCCAGTTTGGCTCAGCGGTTAGAGCGTCGGCCTGCGGTCCGGAGAGACCCGGGTTTGGTTCCCGCTAAGGGCACGTACCTCGGTTGCAGTTTGTCCCCGGCCCTGGTTGGTCGTGCGGGTGGCAGCCACTCGATGTGTCCCTTCACGTCGATGTTTCTCTCTCTCTCTCCCTTCCTCTCTCTCCCTCCCACTCTGTCTGTACAAAAAATGGAAAAATATCCTTGGGTGAGGATAAAAAAAAAGAAAAGAAAATAGCATTTGCCCTGGCTGGTTTGGCTCAGCGGTTAGAGCGTCGGCCTGTAGTCCTGAGAGACCCGGGTTCGGTTCCCGCTAAGGGCGCGTACCTCGGTTGCAGTTTGTCCCCGGCCCTGGTCGGTTGTGCGGGTGGCAGCCACTCGATGTATCCCTTTCACATCGATGTTTCGCTCTCTTTCTCTGTTCCTCTCCACCCCCCACCCCACTCTACCTGAACAAAAAATGGAAAAATGTCCTCGGGTGAGGATAAAAAAAAAAAAAGAGTCAGGGTTCCTCTTCTGGGGCTGCCAGGGAGCTCCGTGCTGGCCCCGGGGGGCGGGCAGTGACTGAACACTGCTCCGTCCGGGAGCACTGGGCCATTTGCTCTTATCGGCTCAACAGCCAGAAATGATCACAAAATATGTGTTTACCAGGTACTGCTGTACATTTCTCCGATACATATTTTTATATAAATGCGCCCTAAAGCATGAAACAACTAGCAATCTTCATAAACTGAAAAAGAAATACAATGAGGACATAAATGCTCTTAAAAAAATAAAATAAAATGTGCTTTTCCAGATGTATGCAAGTAAATGATAAATCATTTCACCTAGAGGGCTACCATAAATGCATAAAACTGTCAGTGTCTGTATTATTAAATTACATGTAAAAAATAATGTCCTGGATGCAAAATAAAACATTTTGCTCTCGGTGGGAAACCCACCAGGTGATATACAGGAGCAAATATCATATGAAGGAGAGAAGCCATTTATAACCAAGAGATCTTACAAGTATTTGCAAAATGCCTTTGGATATTGACACAATTTCTGCATTATACTGATAGCACAAATGGCCATCTGCTCTGACAGATTGTTTAAAAAGAAAAGGAGAAACCATGGTAAATCTGTCTTCGAACTCGGAGGTGAGAGACGATTCGTGTGTTCAGCCAAGCTGAGCTACTGCGCGGAGTGCAATCACTGGAAGAGCCTTTCGGGCTTCCCTTGGGCCCGCGGGGCTTCCTTCTAGGGACTCGCTAATAATCTGCATTCACAGGACGCTCAACGGCAAAGGTATTAGCATTCACTCACAGCTAAGGAAAAATGTGCAAAGGACAGAAATGATCACCATTGTCTATGGTTCCATCCTACAGCAAAACAAAACAAAACAAACTAACAAAGTCTTATTGATCATAATTATTATTTCACTGTCCTGTGTCACAGGCTAGCCACCATTCAGGGGCCAGATGAAAGGCCACTTATCACCACACTTGGGAAAACACCGAGAGCCCACATTCAAGCATCTGATAATATGTTATAACTGAGCCAACCGGCCTATCAGACAAAGACCTGGCCCTTTCCCTCTGACAAGGTGTGAAAGGAACAGGTCACGAAACAGGAGCCCAGGGAAATGATGGGGTTGTCCTGTGCTCACCCTCCCGAGTTCTCCCCTGAGGCTCCCTATCGAATACCTGTCAAAGATCCTCTGCGGCTGCTGCATCATGCTGTTGACGACATGCATCAGGTGATCCTGGGCTGCGACCACTTCCGGGTGAGGGTTGTATTTATTCACTGCCGATACCTTTTCCAGAATGAGAGATGCAAGAGGGAAGCACATTTCATTTCTATAAAGCGCACAAGGCTTAGATGGTCTTTTTTTTTAATCCTCACCTGAGGACATTTTTCCATTTTTTGTACAGATAGAGTGGGAGGGAGAGAGAGAGAAACATCGACGTGAAAGGGACACATCGAGTGGCTGCCACCCGCACGACCAACCAGGGCCGGGGACAAACTGCAACCGAAGTACATGCCCTTAGCGGGAACCGAACCCGGGTCTCTCCGGACCGCAGGCCGACGCTCTAACCGCTGAGCCAAACCGGCCAGGGCTTTTTTTTTTTTTTTTTAATTAGATGTTCTTGAATGTAGTAGTCTAGACATGCAACCGGGTTAAGAAAATAACTTAACGTGTGCTCGTGAATCTTGGTGCCTGGTCTTCATGTCTACTCGAACTTTCCTAAAACCTAAACAATAGTAATTATTATAAAATATTGAGCTGGAGTCCCTTGGTCCCCTACTTCTTGACACCCTCTGGTTTGGAAGGGAAGAAACAAAATCAAAACCCCTAAAGTCCAAGGTTACTTTTAATACAGTAAACTTCCCAGCTTTTAGTATAAGAAGAAGAAATAAAATTCACAGTTCCAGATTCCAGAGTGTTGATGCTGCAGAATCTTCTCCTCCTGCCATCTCACCAGGAAATATTCTGGTCACCTCAAATTCTACCCAAACCTCCTCCTTTAGCATAACTGTCCCTAAACACATTATCCTGTCTGCCACACCTTTCTTTAATCCAGAGCTTTGAATATCATTCCCTTCGCAAACATCAAAGGGAAAGAGAAATCCAGTAAGTGCCTCTGAGTATGAGACTAATGACAGACTCCCACCTGTAACTATTTCTAACCAAGATTTCAGGAAGGCGTTTGTGACATGAAATACCTGCCCCTCTACATGGGCACGGCTGTTTGCACTCCCGTCTCGAGTCTGCACCCAGTGTAAGAGATCTCTCATTAGGGGAGACTTCGGCGGTCACCAGTTACTACGGCAAGACGAAGTAGCGAGCACAGGTAGGGTGGAGGAGAGGCGGGTGCTAGCATTCAAGGTGGCTCCGCAACTGTGTGTCCTGATGAATTGTTATCTCAAAGAGCAGAATGAAGGATTTCAAATAGCAGAGTAGTGACTCATTTGAGTACCTTTTAAGTATATGGTGGAATGACATTATAATACATTTCATTATTAAATGAATTTTTAGGGTAACATAGAATGACACACCCTTTAAATATGATAGTTATCTAAATTAATAGTCTGCCATAATGCTACCGGCCTATACAAATGGAACGCTGCTGCTGAATGTGGGTTGATACTCAGCTTTGCAGAGGGTTAAACACACTGATCCTAGCACAAGGAAATACTCTCTAAACAAACAATTCATTTACAACATATAAATTAATTATGCGTCTCATTTACTGATTTTATTGGTCCTGCAGCAGGCAGCATAAGCTTTTCAGCTTATTAACTGAGAAACGCATGCAATAATATGATTACATACCTTTTCTTCCACTTTAATCTTCTTCTGATCCAATTCTGTTAATCGCAGTAGCATAAAAATGACGAAGAACCAATATTCAGATTTTTCCTATTTAAAATATCAAGAGGACTATTTAATTACCTTCATTTTCCCAAATTAACAAGCACCAGCATTCTATTTCCGTGAGTACTGGTCTATCGCCTACTACCTGCTCCCCCCGCCCCCCGTCATTCACACACACACACACGCACACACACGTCTACATTTTCACACCTACCAGCCCCCTTATATTAACAACTCAAATGCACAACTTATAAAGCTCTTCAAATGTGTGATCATCTCCCTGTGTGATAAGCAGGACAGGTACGATTATCTTCATTTCTTTTATTTATTTATTTTTTTTAAATCCTCACCCGAGGACATTTTTCCATTTTTTGTTCAGATAGAGTGGGAGGGAGAGAGAGGAATAGAGAGAGAGAGAGAAACATCGATGTGAAAGGGACACATCGAGTGGCTGCCACCTGCACAACCGACCAGGGCCAGGGACAAACTGCAACCGAGGTACGCGCCCCTAGCGGGAACCGAACCCGGGTCTCTCAGGACCGCAGGCCGACGCTCTAACCGCTGAGCCAAACTGGCCAGGGCGATTATCTTCATTTCTAAAGAGAAAACCAACTAAGCCTCAGAGAGTTCAGCATTTCATCTAAGGATCCATGGCTAGCGACTCAAACCCTATCTTCTCACTCAGTGATTTCAACCTTTTACATCTCATGGCACACAGAAACTAATGACTAAAATTCCGCAGCACAGCAAAAGCATTTTTGGGTATAATTTCGGTTGATTTACAAAAAATACTAATAGTAATTATCTACCCTTTTTGCTCCAAAAGTGACTTTTTAAAAATAAGCCAATCAGAGAAAGAGTAAGTAGCACATGATTTCACTCATGTGGAACTTAGTGAATAAACTGAACCACTCAGCAAAGCAGAGACAGACTCATAGACAGAGAGCAGACAGCTCTGGTGGGGGTGGGGTGTGAGGGGGGTGGAGAGATTGAGCAAAAATGAAAAAAAAGAGAGAGAACTCATGGACATGGACAACAGTGTGGTGATGATGGGTTGGGGAGGGAGGTGGGGTAGGCGGAAGAAGGCATAGAGAAGATAAATGGTGATGGAAAAAATAAAATAAAATCAGAAATTAAAATAATAATAATAATAATGAAAAAATACAACTTAAAAAACTCAGGTACCTATATTATATATAAGGATTTTTGGTATCAAGAATTAACCAATCAGAGGCAACCTTATTACATGACTGACCAATAAGACTCAACTCTGTTATATCATCTATATATTTATAGTTCAAGACAGGGCATCTGCCCTGGCCAGTTTGGCTCAGTGTTTGGAGCATCAGCCAACAGACCAGAGAGTCCCAGGTTCGGTTCCTGCTAGGGGCACGTACCAAAAAAAAAAAAAAAGACAGGACATCTACACCAGCCAGCTACTGAGGTGTTGGCTGTTGTCGTCTTTTATTTGACAATCTAAGGGAAAAAGAGGTCAGTGCCCCTGACTAAATAGTCAGGTAGTGCACGTTCTAAACATTTTTGTGGCATACTGGTGGAAGATCTGTTCTAACTCCAAAATGTTTCATTATTGCCAACAATGAAACATTATTTATTATTACTTTATCATTTATTTATGACTTTTTATTTTGTATTAATTTACATAATTTATTATGAATTTATTTCACAATAACAAAATGATATTCATTTATGGAGGAATTCCTTTTAACTCCCTACTATCTGCTGTGTTAGGATTATCTGCCTTTTAAAAATATAATTAAAGTTTTTTGTATTATGAAGCCACATCTCTTTGAAGGGAAAGCTATCCGTGATTGATGCACATTATAGATGAGAATGTGAATTAAATGAATATACACTCTCCATGGATCTGAAACTGGGGTTTTGGGGTGGTGGCCCCTTTAAGCCTGGTGGCTTTCTTTCCCAGAGCTGCTTTTACATAGCCTGCCGCATTCCTACACCAAGGACTGTTTTCATTTTTGTTTTGTTTTTTTATCCTCATCCGAGGACATTTTTCCATTTTTTGTTCAGATAGAGTGGGAGGGAGAGAGAGAGAAACATCAACGTGAAAGGGACACATCGAGTGGCTGCCACCCACACGATCAACCAGGGCCGAGGACAAACTGCAACCAAGGTACGTGCCCTTAGCGGGAACCGAACCCGGGTCTCTCTGGACCGCGGGCCGATGCTCTAACTATTGAGCCAAACCGGCCAGGGCCAATTTTTTTTATTATGTTTGCATTTTTAAACATTATTTTTCACTTTTAATTTTTTTGCCTGTCCAGATATATTAATCAAGATACACACAAAAACAAAGGTCCTCAGAGATACATATGGATTCAGGAGTCTATATTGAAAGGTCAGTGAAAAGCAGAGGAGGAAGAGCAGAATGAAGGACAGGGCCCACGGAGGGAGGACAGGGCCCACGGAGGGAGGACAGGGCCCAAGGAGGGAGGACAGGGCCCACGGAGGGAGGACAGGGCCCACGGAGGGAGGACAGGGCCAGGAGGGAGGACAGGGCCCACAGAGGGAGGACAGGGCCCACAGAGGGAGGACAGGGCCAGGAGGGAGGACAGGGCCCACAGAGGGAGGACAGGGCCCACGGAGGGAGGACAGGGCCCACGGAGGGAGGACAGGGCCAGGAGGGAGGACAGGGCCCACAGAGGGAGGACAGGCCAGGAGGGAGGACAGGGCAGGAGGGAGGACAGGGCCCACGGAGGGAGGACAGGGCCCACGGAGGGAGGACAGGGCCCACGGAGGGAGGACAGCGTCAGGAGGGAGGACAGGGCCCACGGAGGGAGGACAGGGCCAGGAGGGAGGACAGGCCAGGAGGGAGAACAGGGCCAGGAGGGAGGACAGGGCCCACGGAGGGAGGACAGGGTCAGGAGGGAGGACAGGGCCAGGAGGGAGGACAGGCCAGGAGGGAGGACAGGCCAGGAGGGAGCACAGGGCCAGGAGGGAGGACAGGGCCAGGAGGACAGGTCCTGTCCATGGGAAAGAGGATGGGCCTGGAAACCGGTCACGGAGCTCTGACTCCCAGATGTGAAGAATCCATGGGAAATCTTTTTTTTTTCTATAATCCTTTTACAGCAACACTTACTTCCCAGCTATATGCAGACAATTACTTTAGGTATCTAATCTTAGACTTTCTTTCCCTTGTTGCAAAATAGGAACCACGTTCTGCCCACACCCCGACACCGTGCATCTTCTAATGTGAAGGGACAGTGCTCCTCCTGCACCTTCACTGCCTCCTGGGGGGGCTCGAGCCCGCACAGACGGGACCCCCAGGCTCTCCCTCTGACAGTGCCGCATGGCGCTGCCTTGCCTTCGCCCTTCTAATTGCTTCCCCGGAGACCGAGAAGGACGACAAACACATTCTCGTTCCTCATGTTCTTCAGCAAACGCACTTCTTGCCCTGGCCGGTTTGGCTCAGCCGTTAGAGCTTCGGCCCGCAGACCAGAGAGACCCGGGTTCGGTTCCCGCTAAGGGCACGGACCTCGGTTGCAGTTCATCCCGGCCCCGGTTGGGGTTGTGCGGGTGACAACCAGTCGATGTGTCTCTTTCACATCGATCTTTCTCTCCCTCTCCCTCCTGCTCTATCTGAACAGAAATGTAAAAAAAGAAAGAAAAAAAAGAGTCCTTGGGTGAGGATTTAAAAAAGCCCTTCTTGAAGAAGAGTTCCAAGAAAGCCCTCATCCCGTCTCCTGACAGAAATGATCTCTTACCTGAATTGGATTTCTGAGAAGATTGAGAACTCGAAGGAGAGGTAGGTGCTCAATGTATTCTACTTCCCCCAGCTCGGCGATCTGTGTAGTCAGAGAAACACAGGATTATCAACAGACTGAATGCACGATGGGAATAAATAGACAGGATACGTCGGATGCTTTAAATCTGACTTATTTTAAAAGTTGTTCCGCTGAACATCCCGTTTTCAAGGAGAATTCTACAGGGTCAAACGAGGACATCAATGCAAGCGAACCAGCCCGTGTTCTGTTCCCCTCTGGCTAGAGAACAGCGAGGTGCTCCCCATCTCAGCCTCGCGCATTTCAAGGCGGCAATGAAAGAACATGGAATCACAGACACGGTACTGAGTGCGCGAGAGGCTGCCGGTCCCCCACCGCCCCTGCAGTTCCCAGTCCGCCCCCAGCACTGCTTCTGCTGGCCCGGTTTCTGTGACCATGAAGCCTTCTTGCTGCGTGTACATGCGCAGCTCTACCGTTTTTTAATAAGAGATCACTGTTTAAGGAGAGATAAAAATGGAAACTGTATGACATAGTTCTTGACATGGGTGTTACACAGGTTCCACCTTACTTTTTTTTTTTAATCCTCACCAGAGGATATTTTCCCATTTAGCTTCAGAGAGAGGGAGAGGGAGAGGGAGAGGGAGAGGGAGAGGGAGAGGGAGAGGGAGAGGGAGAGAGAGAAACATCGACTGGCTGCCTCCCGCATGACCCAACCAGGGCCAGGGAAGGAACCGCAGCCGAGGTGAGTGCTCTTGACCAGAATCGAACCCGAGAATCTTTGGTCTATGGGCCAACACCCTAACTGCTGAGCCAAACCAGCCAGGACTACCTTAAATGTTTTCGTTGAACTCTACAGTTATGTTTTATACTCTCTTCTGTGTAGGTTAACTTTCACAACCTTAAAAAGTAAGGGGGAGCCCTGGCCGGTTTGGCTCAGCGGTTAGAGTGTCGGCCTGTGGTCCAGAGAGACCCGGGTTCGGTTCCCGCTCAGGGCACGTACCTCGGTTGCAGTTTGTCCCCGGCCCTGGTTGGTTGTGTGGGTGGCAGCCACTCAATGTGTCCCTTTCACATCGATGTTTCTCTCTCTCTCTCTCTCTCTCTCTCTCTCTCTCTTCTTCCTCTCTCTCCCTCCCATTCTATCTGAACAAAAAATGGGAAAAGGTCCTCAGGTGAGGATGAAAAAATAAAAAAGTAAGGGGGAAAGGGGGCTCTCAATCTGACCAAGGATAGAGCTTGGGTTGCAGCATGCCAATTTAGTGGAATTTTCCACTAAACTAAACACTTTTACTTAAAATCGCTGTAGTTAGCATAATTATAATTTTATTTCAAATATAGATACTGAACTTTTACAAAAAATTAATACTCACTTTTATTTATATTTATATTTATAATTTATTTATAATTTATATTTATATTTATATGTCTCCCCATCCAACTCATTTCTGCATGTGTTGTAAAAGCCCTCCAACAGCAGAGCCCTGAGAATTCATGAGTTATCCTACCACAAACACAGTGAGAATGTAAACTAGTCCCAGAGCTAAATTGGGCCACGAACATATGCACCATGTTCAAAGGGTGCCATTTTCAAAGACACAATAAGAAAGGCAAATCCCGAGATACAATACACAACCAGCCCGCACTGATCTGGTTATAGCAATATTATGCTTTTATACATAGCTTTTTCTGTAAGATGACCAGCCTGCGCCTTAGACTGCCATCTGGGTCATCGACAAGGTAAAAGGATCCGTTTTTTATACTGTAACTTTCAGGATGGTAGAAAAGTAAACTTGGTTCTCATTGGCTCAGTCGTCACTTTCAAACAAGGGATTTATTTCCCTGTAGAATACAACTCTTGGGCTTGACCTACCACAAATGTTAGGAGCTGTTTTCCCACAGTCACCATATCTCACCAAGTCCTGGCCACGTGCACACAGACGTTGCTGGTGAAGAGTGCAAACTGCACATTCTTCCTAAAGAGCAATCGGTGTTAAAAATGCACACGCTAGCCTGGCCGGGGTGGCTCAGTGGATTGAACATCGTCCCATGCACCAAGAGGTTGATGGTTTGATACCCCGTCAGGGCACACGCCCGGGTTTCTGGCTCAATTCCCAGTAGGGGGCATGCAGGAGGCAGCCAATCAATGTTTCTCACATTGATTTCTCTCTCTCTCAAATCAATAAAAACATTTAAAAAAAAACACCTTAAAAAAAAATAAAAATGTACAAGCTATGAAACAGTTATTCCATGGCAGGAGCTTTATACTGAAGAGATCATCAGACAGGCAAAAATTAGATACAAGAACACTCTAATGTTTTTAGTAAATGTTAAAAATATTCTAAATTCTGCCCTGGCCGGTTTGGCTCAGCGGTTAGAGCGTCGGCCTGCGGTCCCGAGAGACCCGGGTTCGGTTCCCGCTAAGGGCATGTATCTCGGTTGCAGTTTGTCCCCAGCCCTGGTTGGTCGTGCGGGTGGCAGCCACTCGATGTGTCCCTTCACATCGATGTTTCTCTCTCTCTTCCTCTCTCCCCCTCCCACTCTACCTGAACAAAAAATAGAAAAATGTCCTCAGGTGAGGTTAAAAAAAAAAAAAATTCTAAATGCTGAAAGATAAAAATCATATGATCTTATCAATAGATGCTGTAAAAGCATTCGAGAAAATCCAGCACCCATTTCTGATAAAAACGCTCAGTAATGTGGGAATAGAGGGATCATATCTTGACATAATAAAGACCATATATGAAAAACCTACAGCCAACTCCATACTCAATGGACAAAAACTAAAAGCATTTCCCGTAAGAACAGGAACAAGACAGGGATGCCCACTTTTACCACTCTTATTTAACATAGTACTAGAAATCTTAGCCACAGCAATCAGACATGAAGAAAAAAATAAAAGGGATCCAAATCGAAAGAAGGAAGTGAAACTGTCATTATTTGCAGATGATATGATATTGTACATAGAAACCCTAAAGACTCCATCAAAAATCTACTAGATTTAGCCCTGGCCGGTTTTGGCTCAAGGGTTAGAGCATCGGCCTGTGGTCCAGAGAGACCAGGGCTTGGTTCCCGCTAAGGGCGTGTACCTCGATTGCAGTTTGTCCCCGGCCCTGGTTAGTTGTGCAGGTGGCAGCCACTCGATGTGTCCCTTTCACATCGATGTTTCTCCCTTTCTCTCCCTCTCTCTCTCTCTCTCTCTCTCTCTCTTCCTCTCTCTTCTCCCTCCCACTCTATCTGAACAAAAAATGTCCTCGGGTGAGGATTAAAAAAAAAATCTACTAGATTTAATTAATGAATTTGGCAAAGTAGAAGGATACAAAACTAACATCAGGAAATCGACAGCATTCTCATACACCAACAATGAACTCATAGAAAGAGAAACTAAAAAAAAATCCCAGTTACCATCGCTGCAAAAAAATTAACATACCTACAAATAAACTTAACCAAAGAAGTAAAGGACCTCTTCGCAGAAAACTACAGGTCACTGAAATAATAGAGGAAGATATAAAAAAATGGAAGCATATATAATGTTCATGGATTAGAAGAATTAACATCATTAAAATGTCCATACTACCCAAAGCAATCTATAGATTCAATGCAATCCCCAGCAAAACACTAATGACATATCTCACAGAACTAGAACAAATACTCCAAAAGTTTATATGGAACAAAAAACACCCTGAATAGCCACAGCAATCTTGAAAAAGAAGAACAAAGTAGGAGGGATCACAATACCAGATATCAGGTTATACTACACAGCCATTGTAATCAAAACAGCCTGGTACTGGCACAAGAACAGGCAAATAGATCAATGGAACTGAACAGAGAACCCAGAAATTGACCCAAGACATTATGCTCAATTAATATTTGACAACAGTGGCAAGAGCCTCAACATCACTAATCATCAGAGAGATGCAAATTAAAACAACAATGAGGTATCACCTCACACTTGTCAGAATGGCCGCCATCAACAAATCATCAAACAAGTGCTGGTGAGGGTTTGGAGAAAAGGGGACTCTAGTACACTGCTGGTGGGAATGCAGACTGGTGCAGCCACTATGGAAAACAATATGGTGTTAACTCAAAAAATTGGAAATTGAACTGCCATTTGACCCAGAGATCCCACTTCTGGGAATATATCCTAAGAAGCCTGAAACACCAATCAGAAAGAATATATGTACCCCTATGTTCATAGCAGCACTATTTACAATCCCTAAGATTTGGAAACAGCCCATTCATTTGGAATTCAGTCCATCAATGAATGAGTGGATAAAAAAGCAGTGGTACATATACACAATGGAATACTATGCAGCTGCAAGAAAGAGAGATCTCTTATCCTTAGAGATGACATGGAGGGACCCGGAGAGTATTATGCTAAGCGAAACAAGCCAATCAGATCAATATACCATATGGTCTCACTTATATGTGGAATGTAATGAACAAAACAAACTGATGAACAAAATAGACCCAGAGATATAGAAGTAGGGTACAGATTGACAAACTTCAGAAGAAGGGGATGGGTGAGAGGGAAGAGATAAACCACAGAACTTATATGCATGTATGTGTAACCAATGGACATGGACAACAGTGCTGGGAACAGGATGGGGGAGACCGGGAGGAGGGTGTCAATGGGGGGAAAAGGAGAAACACCTGTAACAAAAACAAATTAATTAAAAAATTTTCTAAATCCCTAAAAGCTCCATCGATATGTGATTCAATGAGTCATAGTGCAGTTACATAATAGGAACACCATGCACCCAAATGAGAAGATGGTGACATCTACGGTGACCGACATGGAAAAATATTCAAATGTTATAAAGAACATGAACAGAATGACTGTGGACCACACAATTATATTACCACTAAGATGTCAGCTGGGATCGCTGGTCTTTCCAGAGTCCAGTGAGAGGAGTCCAGCTTCCCTCAGTCTTTTCAAAGGCAGGACGAGGCTGTAGGGCCGGGGGAGCAATGTCGAGTAGCCTGGCTTCGGGTTCCCATGGCTGCTGAATCAGCCACGTGCACCAGGTCCTGGCTGCCTGCATGTGCCCCCCTCTCCTGGGGATCCATCTCCCCCATGTCTTCTCTCTTCAAATGCCAAGACCCAAGGCTGTGTGTATCACAGACGATTACAGATGGGGTGGGGACACAGCGCCCCAAATGACCTAAGGTGAATATTGCCCCAAAGGTTATATCCTGAAAGGAACTTCAGCCACCTGCTGCTAAGACCGTCATACCAGCAGAGCTGATCCCCAGATTCTCATGCCCCTCTTCTCGAGCCTCCTCTGCCTCTTCGCTACTCCCCGCCCTCCGGAAGCCCGTCAACGTTGACTTCACAGGGAGAGTACTTTAGATGATTCTTTTTTTGCCATTTCCTTCTAGGCCATGCTCGCCAAGCCTTACCATCCAGACCTGATGGGGCCTGTGAAAGCTTTTCTCTAGATAGGTAGGTAGACAGACAGACAGGCAGATAGACCACATGAAGAATACTGATGAAAGTGCTACTCAGAAAACATTCCTCACATCAAATTAACCACATGAGAAGTAATCTCTGTGTTGTTTCTTTTAAATGATACATTTTCCATCCCTGACACACAGCATCCTCAGTAGTCCTGGAGAAATCTCTGAGGGACTCTTTGGATGGCTCAAAGAATATTTCGAAGTACTGTTGGTTGCTCCCCAACCTGCCCACGGGGAGCCAGGGAGTTATGTTATTGTTACGAACCCAATCATTGCCTCTGGGAAATGCAGCCACATGGTTTTTTAATGGAGTCTCTTTAATATTTGAAAATTACAAACTCCTTTCTTCACTCACTCTTTTCTTTAAACTTTTCAAATGTACTTTGAATGATCTCTTGAAATGGAAGGAAACAGTATACTGTTCGTGAGGTCTTTCTAGACCAGCGCTATCCAGTACGGTAGGTACTAGCCAGGAGTGGCAGCTTAGCACTAGGAAAGTGGCCAGCAGGAATCAAGCATACTTGGTGTAAAACACACACTAGATGTAGAAATCTTAGTGTAAAGCAACAGAATATAAAAGAGCTCATCTGTAATTTTTATGTAGATTACATGTTGCAACAATGATATTTTGGATGTACTGAGCAAAACTGATTTGAAACTGATTTCACCTGTTCCTTTTTACCTCTTTACTGTGGCTACTAGAAAATTAAAAATTGCCCACACAGTTATGTCTCGCATTATATTTTTATCAGAAAACACTCTTCTAGGACATTTATACTATATGCTTTTCTTAAGAGAGGGCCATTAGCATTTCATTTACTGTATTACCCTGCAGGGTTAAGAACACGAACTCCTGCCCAGCCAGTGTGGCTCAGTGGTTGAGCATAGATCCATGCACCAAGAGGTGGCCAGTTTGATTCCCGGTCAGGGCACATGCCCAGGTTGTGGGCCCGATCCCCAGTGGGGGGCATGCAGGAGGCGGTCAATCCATGTTCTCTCTCATCGATGTTTCTATCTCTCTCTCCCTCTGTCTCTAAAAATCAGTAAAGAAAAAAAATAATAATAATAATTAAAAATACATAAATAAAATACAAGTAAGAGTGAAAGCCAATTTGTGTAATGTGTGACATAATGTTCATTAAGCCAGAAACAGAAATGTGAGTAAGTCCAACCCCCGACTCGCGCAGCTGGGGACACACTGCTGTTGCCAGAGGGCTCGAGAGCTCACCCCGCGCCTCCCTGCTCTCCGTGGCAGCCGTGGGCCGCGCCAGCCTGTGGCCATTCTCCCGTCCGCACTGCCCTGCTTGGGCATCTCAGGCACTCCTAATGCTGCCCTCTACACAGACTTTCCCACGGACACGCACTCCAGACAGCCGCGGGCTCGGGGTTGCCGTGGAAACCTTTAAACCGCGTGATGAGGAATCAGCGACGTTTCAAAAATAAAGAATCGCGTGCACAACCCATGGACACAGACTTTAGGTTGGGGAGAGCAGGAGGGCGGGGGAGGGGGTCAATGGGGACAAGAAGGGGGACATCTGTAATACTTTCAACAATTAAAGAAAAAAGAATTGTAAGTGTTTTTTGTTTTTTTAAGTCCTTCAACTACTGCTCCAGGAGGTTTCCTAGAATGACATTTCTAAGCTGGCATTTAATGTGACAGCCCGTGAGCAGCCAGTAATGGGTCCCGACACTGAACCGGACGCGTGCGGAGCAGGGGCTCACCTTGTTGTCCTCCAGGTTGATCACCTCCAGGAAGTCGTGGTTCTCTAAGCCTTGCAGGCTGCTGATCTGGTTGTGGGACAGGTCCACGATCTGCAGGGCTCTCAGTTCGTCCAAACCCGTGATCTTCTTGATCTGGTTGTAGCTCTAAAATGGATAAACGCACCCAGTGTCTTAAGGGCCTCCACAGGAAAAGGCGTAATGACAAGTTTTCATTCTGAATACTGCCCCAAATCTCTAAAAAGCAGTAAGCCACTCTTGTCTGCCTCCCTAAACACATACACACACAGCCCAGAAAGGGATCTCAGCTTCTCAGCCGGAAAACCGAGAATACAATACCTGCATCAAGTTAAAGCAAGATGAATAGTGAAGTGAGTAGGACAGACAAAAGCTAGGTAATGCAAGCTTTCTACAGTGCATAACCGAAAGCCCAGTGACAGCATAACCCCATGTTTATCTTTAGAAATAAAATGTAATGCAGTTCTTTCCACGGCATCACAATAAGACACTTGAATATTGTCATATCCACATACAACTTGCTTTCAGCAACATTCTAAATATAATCACTCCATTTCACGAGAGCCGTCACAGTCCCATACGAGCCTTCAGTTCTCGGGCTCTTGTGAGGTTCCCGCCTCCTGAATCTGGGCTGGACCTGTGACTGGTCTTAACCAATGGAATAGGGTAGGAGCGCGCCAGTTCCAAGTCTAAGGAGTAAGAAGGCCTAGCAGCTTCCCCTGTTGTGTCTGGAAGCCCCGAGCTGCACTGTTAGAACACTGCCTACTCTATTGGAGTGAATTTGTGGAGGGGTCCCATGGAGGAGAGGTCACATGGAGAGAGGTACTGAGACTAAACACAGAGGAAAAATCCATCCATTCCAGCATCCCAGCAGGGCCTAGACCCCAGCCAATCTGCCAGGTGAATGAGGCAGGTGCAGAGGAACCACTCTGCTGAACCCAGCTCAAACTGCAGAGTTGCTAGCTAACAATATGGTTAGCTATTAACGTTTCTCCACGCCACCACACTTGGGGTGGCTTATTATACAGCAGTAGAAAACCGAACTGAATTCTTCAATAATCCACACAAGCATCCTCTCAGATAATGAGCATAAAACAAAGAAAGATTCAAGACTCAAACACTCCTTTTTCCCAACCCCTATGTACCCAAAACAATGAATTGTGGTGATAATAATTTGCATTTTCTTGTACATTCCATGACTCCTTGGGTTGGTTCCTTAACCTTGAGGTATAAAAATATGCCACAATAAAAATAAAACTTTTAGTTTGAGGATCGTAATAAAGACAATTTCGAGGTTTCAATTAATGTTGTCATGCCCATCTTTAAACTTTTAAAACTTTTAGTAAGCACTTATAAACTAAAAATTAAATTATAGCCCTGGCTAGGTGGCTCAGTTGGTTTGAACATCATCTCATACACCAACAGGTTGGGGATTCAATTCCTAGTCAGGGCACAGACCTAGGTTGTGGGTTCAATCCCCTGTTGGAGCATGTACGGGAGGGAGGCAAGTGATTAATATTTCACTCTCACATTGATGTCTCTCTCTCTCAAGCAATCAATTAACATATCCTCAGGTGAGGATAGAAAAATAAATTATTGTACCTCTTCTTCTATAATATTTTTACTGGTACATTTAATAGCAAAAATTCATTTTCATCCTATTTTTCTTAAGATTTCACTTCATTAATGAACAAGATATGTGTCCGTTAGTATAATTTATGGCTCTTTAAAATATATTAATGCAGTGTTGATGACCTATTAAGCTGGGTGACAGTACACGAGAGCTCATTAAACCATTTCCTTTATTTTTATACATGTTTGAAAAGTCTATAAGAAGAGGGAAAAATACTCATAAACCCATTTGCCTAAGCTAAGTCAAATTTCCTACTGTTCAGAGTTCAAATAAGTTCTAGAATGTGTAATAGAAAAGAAATACATGACACTAAACTTAACGTAATGTCGATATTAATTAAACTTTCTGAAATAAGACCTCAATATCCTGCTTTAAAAAATGGCCACATATCAAGTTATATACACTGTACTTCTTTGCAAAGAACTCTGCGGATGGTTAAGGTAGCCTGCATAACTCTTTTTATTTATTTTTTTTATTTTTCACCACAGAATATTTTTCTATTTATCTTCAGATAGAGTGGGAGGGAGAAAAAGGCCCTGGCTGGTTTGGCTCAGTGGTTAGAGCGTCAGCCCGTGGTCCAGAGAGACCTGGGTTCGGTTCCCGCTAAGGGAATGTACCTCAGTTGCAGTTTGTCCCCAGCCCTGGCTGGGTCATGTGGGAGGCAGCCACTCGATGTGTCCCTTTCACGTCAATGTTTCTCTCTCTCTCTCTCTCTCTCTCTCTCTCTCTCTCTTCCTCTCTCTCCCTCCCACTCTATCTGAACAAAAAATGTCCTCGTGAGGATAAAAAAAAAGAGGGAGAGAGAGAGAAAAACATCAACATGAGAGGGACACATCAACAGGAGGCAGCAACAGAGGCACATGTCCTTGGCTGAAATCGAACCCGTGACTCATTGGTCTGTGGGCCGACACTCTAACTGCTGAGCCAAATAGGCCAAGGCTCTTTTTTTTAAAAAAAATCTTTCCATTTATCTTCAGATAGAGTGGGGACGGGGGGAGAGAAATGTTGATGTGAGAGAGACACTGACTGGCTGCCTCCCACACAATGAGGTGCATGCCCTTGAGCAGAATCAAACCCGCAACTCATTGGCCTGCGGGGCCGACGCTCTAACCGCTGAGCCAAACCAGCCAGGGCGGTCTGTGCAACTCTTTCCAGTGTCCCTGCTGGCTCAGAGTGGAAGGCGCCTGGGGGGACCCAGGCACAGAACAGTTTCACTGCATAGATAGCCTATGGTCACAAAGGAGAGCAGAAGCGAGAAATACTCAGAAAGAATCTCCCAGTTCCTGGGTTGAAAGTCATCTCGTCAAACCCTTTAACCAATGCAGAGACACTGATGCATCGCTCCTCAAACCGGACCCTGGTGTCCACAGGGACTTGCTTGTTTGGTCATGACTGGGGGAGGGGGGGAGGGCCTGAGAGAGAAGCCTTTTCCTTAAATATGTAAAATGAGAAACATTCACCTCTCAGTTTGAATAACAAATGGTTCTTACCAAGACCAAGTAAAGTTTGAAATTTGAAATGCACTGTCCTTACTTGTCAGGACAGCCCACCAGGGGACCACCTTTCCCCCTGACATTTATCACTAAGTTGATGCTAGACAATTACTGGTGTGTATAGTGAATTGTTCTTTTTTCTCTAAGTTGTGAAATAAAGTATTTTCAGTAGTAAAGCAACTGGTTTTCTGATTCCACAAATTAAAAAAATGAAAGCATTAAAAACTGTTGAAATAAATTATGTATCCTTTTACTTTATGTATTTTATTAACATGGAAAAGAAAATCTTCCTAGTTTCAAAAACTGTAAGGAAAATGAATGCTGGCATAACCTGTATTTTCTAGTTCATGTTGGGTGGTGGGGGCAGAGATTGGGAAGAATCCCTCATTGATTTGTAGAAAAAAATAAGTCTCTCGTGCTTTTTCTAAAAGCTGCTTTGGACATGAAACTGTCAACACAGATTACTTAGTTATTGAAACAAACTCTTAGGAGGACAGTGCTGTGTGGTTAGTGTTAATCAGTCCAAGTCTCGCTCCCTCCAGCCCAGATCTCCTCCACATACCATGCTCGGCTGGGAGTTACCAGGAATGCCAACGCAGAAACGATATGTAAAGAAAGGGATAAACTACAGACGGAATAGCAATACTGTTGCTAATCCTTCAAATTACCATAACTTCAAAATGTGACTTGTTTACAATTCTCAAATTTGCAACCCAATGTATCAAATTCATTTTCATTCATGCTTTGCTAATCTGCCTTAGTGGGCAGAAACCAAGAAACTGCGGGGAAGTGATTAACCCTCACCATGCCTCCTCTCCACCCCTGGCACTGGGAACCAGTCCTGGACCCTCACCTAACTCACTGTAAGGAGTGAAGGGTCTGAAAAACGCACTTCCGTCCCCAAGCTGGGTGGTGCATTAACACACAGCCATCCAGCTCTCTGTGGTTAGAAAGGCAGGGATAGTATATTGTATACATCAAAATTCTGCAGACAACCCCAAATGTCATTTCAAACACAGGTCAACTCTCCTGTGGGATAGTTCACATAGGAATTTAATAAGCTACCAGCCTCCCGGCTTAACCCCTCCCCCCTGCCCACCTTGTGACAGATAAAATAACAGCAAAGCCATCTAAGGGTCAGAAGTAGGAGGAAGGAGGAAAGAAAGAAGAAAAAATCCCGGATAATCCAGAAATCAGAAAAAAATCCCAGATAATGTATTATCAGCCCCAACATTAGTGAACTACGCTATTGTTTCAAAAACACTGTGTATTGGGGACTATTATGATCCTGCTGGCTTTTTTGTAAATTATATTTTCCTTGAGTCATAGTCACACAGCATGTCATATAGCTAAAGAAGAGTGCTGGCTATGGAAAAAAAATAAACAAGTTGAAACTCTCTGACTTGGAACTGCTCATTTATTCTCAGTACTAATTCTGGTTGTTAGAGGGGAGACTAGCATATATTAACATAAGAAGACTGCAAAAATTCAGAGCCCAGAGAACACCTTGTGGTTCATTTGAAAGCAAGAGTGTTAACAGCAATAAATATAATGCTTAACTATGTTTAAATGTTATTTCATCAAGACATTATAAAATGTATTTTTTATTTTCATTTATTTTTTAAATTTGTTTTTCTATCCTCACCCGAGGACATTTTTTTTGCATTTACTCAGGTACAGTGGGAGGGAGAAAGGGAAGAAGAGAGAGAGAGAGATACATCGATGTGAGAGAGACACATCGACTGGCCACCACCCACACGGCCCCAACCGGGGCCAGGGACAAACTGCAACCGAGGTACGTGCCCTTAGCGGGAACCAAACTCAGGACTTTCTGGTCCACCGGCCGTGAGCCAAACCTGCCAGGGCTAAAATGTACTTTTAAATAGCTGTTAAAAGTACACCTCTCTCTCAGCCCTGGCCGGTTTGGCTCAGCGGTTAGAGCGTCGGCCTGCGGTCCTGAGAGACCCGGGTTCGGTTCCCGCTAAGGGCATGTACCTCGGTTGCAGTTTGTCCCCGGCCCTGGTTGGTTGTGCGGGTGGCAGCCACTCGATGTGTCCCTTTCACGTCGATGTTTCTCTCTCTCTCTCTGTTCCTCTCTCTCCCTCCCACTCTACCTGAACAAAAAATGGAAAAATGTCCTCGGGTGAGGATAAAAAAAAAAAAAAAAAAAAAAAAAAAGTACACCTCTCTTTCTCAATGTAAAATGTCAATCTTTTGCCCTGGCCAGTTTGGCTCAGTAGTTGGAGCGTTGGCCCATGAATTAATGAGTCGTGGGTACAATTCCGGTCAAGGGCACATACCTTGGTTGTGGTTCGTCCTCGGCCCTGGTCAGGTCGTGCGGGAGGCAGCCAGTGGAAGTGTCTCTATCACATCAATGTTTCTCTCCCTCTCTCTCTCTGTCTCTCTCCCTCTCTCCCTCCCTCCCACTCTATCTGATGATACATGGAAAAATATCCTCAGGTGAGGAATAAAAAAAAAGTCAATCTTTTGAAAGAATGAATTTGGATACCAAATTAGAAAATTATTTCCTTTAGCATGAAATATTGCACACACACACACACACACACACACACACACGGCAAAGACCAAACAAAACTGAAGACAGTAACATACCATTAAACAATTCTCTCTTTATAAAGCGGAAATTCCTAAACAATTATAATGCATACATTTACTGAAATGTTCACTAGTACTTCTAAAGAATGGCCCCGTGGGACTCACCAGGCAGAGTATTTTGATGGGGAGCGAGCCTAAACCATGAATCTCCGTGATCTTGTTTTGGGCCAGACTGAGATGAGTCAGATTGCTGCACAGCTCTAACCCGCTGATTTCTTCAATCTTATTGCCTGTGTACCATGGCCACGTTTAAGGAAAACGTTGTTAAAAACATTTCAGAGAAAAAAGAATCGGTGTGCAATCTGATAGCAGCAGACACAGAGCAGTGTTACACGCCAGTGTAGGAAGAACAGTGCGTCTTGAAACATATTTTTCATACAGAAGTGAATACTAGCACGACTTCAAGTGAACTTTGTAAAGCTGTATTTTCTGAGTGTGCTCAGTTATATTTGCATTCGCATGTGACTCAGAAATTTCAGAGGCTCATGGCTGACCCCTAGGTATGTTTCCTTGGTTCCTTACAGGTCTCCATGGGAAACACCAGTGCTTCCCACAGACAGACTTCTGAATGGAGTCGCCCTGGAGATGCAACATGCAGTGAGCTTCACCATCATCAAAACCCAGGTAACAGCCGGGAAACGTCATCTGCTACAAATGCGGGTAAAGAAAAGCCAATACCCTGGTACAGAGAGGAAGAGCCCTTTCTGTTCTCTCTTCAAAATAAATGAAGCCAAAACTCGGCCTTGACCTTCTCCTCTGTTGACTAGGTTTCTATTCACTGCTAAAATGTTAACTTATTGTGTGTGCTCCATCCTTGTAGACAGTTAACACTACGTCTCAGAGTCACCGCGTCTTCTCACCTCTCTCTGGCCTCAATCTCTTTGGCAAATTTCCAGGATCTAATATCACCTCCCCACCAAAGTTCCCCTTTCCCTCCCAAGTAGCCTAAGACATCACTGTTTTCTCATCCACTTGTAATCTTCAGGGCATCCAATCAATCACCAAACCCTGGCATTTTTGCTTTAAAACATCTCTTGAACGATTCCCTTCCTTTTCGTTCATTCCTCTGACAACTTAATTAAGCTTGAGCACCAATGGGTACTTCCAACATCCTGTCCCCAAGCCAGCTTTCATACTGTAGTCAGGTTAATTTTTTTTTTCAAGTTATCGGTTAGATATTATGCTGCAATTAAAAAATTCTCATAGGACAAATTCCAAACTCCTCACTCTCACATTTAAGGCTGTTCACTTTAAGCAAAACCTATTTCGTCAATTTCATCCCCATTATAACCCAGTGAGAATTCTGTACTTCTGCTGGGTGGATATCCTCCCTGGGTTTGAAATGTACCAGTAACTTTTCTACTTGGCTGGGCATCTTCCTTCTTGCTGCTTTCTAACTCCTCTCTAAACCCTGCCTGTTCCTCAGGCTCCATTTTTTTTTTTTTTTTATCCTCACCCGAGGATATTTTTCCATTTTTTGTACAGATAGAGTGGGAGGGAGAGAGAGGAAGGGAGAGACAGAGAGAAACATCGACATGAAGGGACACATCGAGTGGCTGCCACCCGCACGACCAACCAGGGCTGGGGACAAAGTGCAACCGAAGTACGTGCCCTTAGCGGGATCTGAACCCGGGTCTCTCTGGACCGCAGGCCGACGCTCTAACCGCTGAGCCAAACCGGCCAGGGCCCTCAGGCTCCATTTCAAATTCCACTTCTGTTTTTCCTTATTTTAAAGATTCATATTCGACCAACATCTTAAGTATTTATTTTTGATAAATAATCTCATTTGCTTATTTCTTTTTAATTCCATAAGTACAAATGATAGATTGGAAGAACATATTCACAGTATAATAGTAGACCAAGGATTACTACCCAGACTACATAAAGAATGGCCATAAACTAATAGAGAGAGAGGAAAAAGAAGAGAAAAAACACCCAATTTAAAATGAAGAAATATGTTCAGGATATTCCCAGGAAGTTCCCAGAAGAGCAAATCCCAGTGGTTAATAAACATGTGAAGACACTTCATCAGCCAGAGAATACCAATGAAGACAAGCTCTGCCCATCAGCTCAGCAAACAGGAAAGGTTTGGACACTGCGAAGGTTCTAAGGAACGATACTTTCATAGCCAGCAAGAGGGTCCATTGTGATACTGTTACCGGGAAGAGGTTTGGCAGTAAATGTGTCTCAGGAGTTCCACGTGTTGGTATCCACTCTAGAGAAACCACTTCTTCCTTGAAGTCTTTTCTGTTCAACTTCTAACCCCAAGCTACGTCCTTCCATGAGTCATTGAATCAACAATCACGGAATCACTTTTTCAAAGGCAAGGAAGCGGCCATAGGCAACACAAAAACATACTCCGCCTCAGAATTATTTGTAGTTATCCTAACTCTACCACTTACGAGTTATGGGACTTAACTTCTCTCTGCTCAGATGTTTCATTTGGTTTTTGTTGTTGTTTTTAAATCCTCACCCGAGGATACTTTTTCCACTGATTGTCAGATAAAGTGGGAGGGAGGGAGAGAGAGAGAAACAATGATGTCGATGTGAGAGAGACACACCGATTGGTTGCCTCCTGCAAGACCCCAACCAGGGCCGAGGATCAAACTGCAGCCAAGGTACGTGCCCTTGACCGGAATCAAACCCACGACTCTGGTCCACAGGCCAACACTCTAACCACTGAGCGAAACTGGCCAGGGCTCAGATGTTTCATTTGTGAAGGGAAGACAACACCAGGGTGCCGTGAAGGCCAGAAGTTAGATCGAGAGGAAAAACTAGGAAATGGGTGTGAATGAGTCCCACGAACCGCAGGACACCTAAAATTGTAACACGTCGCTATCCTTACTGAATTACAGCCACGGGAGGCCAAGGAATCCCATCCCCTACCACCTGGCCAACACACGAAACGGAAGATTCAAGGCCAGGACCGATTCTGCAAAGAACGAGGCCTCAGAAAGGGGCATCTTAGGAAACCGGAAGCAATGATGAGAAGGGTTGCCAAATGAACCAGAAATTCCTAGATTTCCTTCATGGTTGTTTCCTTCAGGCGGAAACCCAGTTCTGCTAGTGGTCGCCGGGCACGTTCAAATCCACTTGCATAAAGCTCCTGCCAGGACGCTCTGCAAACAGACGCTGATGCTCACAGCTGCTCTGCTCCTTTGGCTGTTTAAATAATCATCCTCTCACTAAACCAAAGACCAGGGCTTTGCAGGCGTGGATGGCAACGAAGGATGTGGAATGCCGAACACGGGAGATGAAACTCTCACTCAGTGGAATAAAATATCCTCAGTGTCGGCAATCTCTGGCAAGCAAACCGGCACACGACCCTCTGTCTCGGTTCAGCCGAGGCAGCAATCGTCCTTCGGTCCCGTTGCAGGGGCACTGGTGTCCTGGAAGCTGCGCTCCCACCGACATGTAAGATGCTCTGAGTGATGACGAAGGGTATATACAACACATGCTGGTGGGTAGCTGAGCCAGGAAGCATCCCCATGGAGCCGGCAAGGGTCAGAAAACTAGAAACCAGGAATCCTGGAACCGAAGAGATACTGGAGTTGAAAAGGAGAGCTTGTTTGCTGCGTACCCAGTCATCTGCCGAGACACTAGAGGCTCAGCACATTTCCTTAGGTGCACGCAGCTGGCTAGCTCTGGCTAGAGCAGGGAGTCTTGTTTCGTGAAACTCGTAGCACAAGGGCCAATGGGAGGAGCAATTCGTGCCTCTCGTCCATCATCAGCCTGGGTTCTGCGGCCGCCCTCGGCCACGCGGGCCAGGGTGAGGGGCTGACTGAACAGCTACTGAGAAACTCGTCCATTTCAGAAAGATGGTTTGTTTTCCAACTCTTCATCGCCCTTTAGATTTCCAGGAATTTCAGGCACTGTAAATTATCGAGGTTCTTGAGTGAGGAGCATTTTCCACAGTGGCCCAGCCACTTTCCCGCCTAGTGACTCCCACGCCACTAACGTGACCGCCAGCAACACTAATGGTCGATGTGCAGGATGGCCCCACAGTCGACGTGGCCCGTGCAGAGCTCAGAGTTCACGGCTTGCTTCAGGAACTCCTTGATCGCCCCAATCGCCTGTTTTCTTTCTTTTTTTAAAGAAATACGACTGGCCCTTCCTCCTAAGGTTATTCTTTCACGTTCTTTCTTGGGTCTTGGGACTTTGGGGTAAGACGAAATGTAATCTGATAAGTCACTGAACTATTACAATGTATTAGCTTACCAGGCTAACCCTCTTAGGCATATTTTAATTTTAAAAGGCCACTCTCAGGAGAAAGACTCACAAGGACTGAAAATGATCACAGTGTATCCCAGCGCTAAGGCTTTCGGTCCTGTGGATGAATCTTGGCGGTGGGATTTCAGACGCAGGAGGACTCGGAGGGAAAGAGCCCGGAGGCTCGCAGGCGGGACTTCCCGGCGGGGAAGCGCCCGGCTGGGTGTTTTCACATCGTCACCAGTTCACAGTGCTTGACATGACTTATTCACCAGTTCCCTCTTCGCGCGTATTCACGTGTCTGTGGTCAAAAAATATGGTTCGGGCGTACAGGAATCGGCTTCTAGAAATACTGGCTGTCCATCATGATTCTCTTAGTGGGGAGACCCACAATGATGGCTTTAATCAAAACCCGCCCCAGAAGGTCTGCATCACCTTGCCGGGGAAAAGTGTTCTCCCCTGCGGGAGTGAAACTCGAAGACACGAAACACGCACACACGAGATGGCGAGGTGACACAAGGTGATCATCAGCGAATCGCATCATGGGCGAACAGTGGAACTCGGAAGGCCAGTCTCAGTTCGACCGTCTTCCAAACCATGTTGGACAGTGGGCTGGATCTCGCTGAGGCTCGGGCCCCTCCATGAAACATCAGCTGGTACTGGGTAGTACTGGATGGTCCCTAGAATTCTGGCCTTAACAATTCTGTGAGCCATTTTTCAATTTCATAATTCTATAATCGTAAAGTAAATGCCAACAATCAGTCAGGATTTGTAGGTAAAGAATAAACCGCATCCTTTCTCAAGAATAAGTAATGTACGTACACTTGGCAAAGTTTATCATCTTGCAATTGGGGATGATTATCCATTAATCATCAGTTACCCACATATGAAAGGAAAACAAACTACAAAGTTGATATTTTATACTTAAGTCATTTTGAGGTATTAGTAGAATTAATTGACTATAATTACATCATCAGTATTAATAGCTTGATTAACTACTTTGTTTTTAAATAATTGTTCTGTGTGTTCTTTATGTTGATAATTACACTTTTTCTTTATGTTAAAGTAAAGCGTACTTTTCCCCCCTCAAGTACAAAAGTCATACATGCCCACCAGGGACAGCCTGAACACGTATAAACAGTGTAACAAGATAATGGTCCAGTTTCTCACGCCATCAGCTTAGGAAAGCGTGCGAGGTGCACAGAGAGGACTGATCAGCTTGGAGCTGAGGTCCTCCCAGTGTGGTCCTCAGACCGGCGATATCTGCATGACCTGGGAACGCGTGATCACCGTGAAATCTGGGGTACCGCCCCAGACCTACTCATCAGAAGCTCTGAGGACGGTGGCCAGCAATATGTTTCTTTTTTTTATCCTCACCCGAGGACATTTTTCCATTTTTTGTTCAGATAGAGCAGGAGGGAGAGAGAGGAAGAGAGAGAGAGAGAGAGAGAGAGAGAGAGAAACATCGACGTGAAGGGACACATCGAGTGGCTGCCACCCGCACGACCAACCAGGGCCGGGGACAAACTGCAACCGAGGTACATGCCCTTAGCGGGAACTGAACCCGGGTCTCTCTGTACCGCAGGCCAATGCTCCAACCGCTGAGCCAAACCGGCCAGGGCGCAATATGTTTCAACAAACCCTCCAGGGGACTCTGACACAGCTGACGTTTGAAGCTTGGTAAATAATTGTTTTCAAAGAAATTAATTTACAGGCTTTTAAATTTGTTAATTGATCTAGGTACATCATTGGCCCATATATGATCTGCTTTTTATTTTATTTTATCCTTACCAAAGGACATTTTTGAATTTATCTTCAGATAGAGCGGGAGGGAGATAGGGAGGAAGAGAGAGAGAGAAACATCGATGTGAGAGAGACACATTGACTGGTTGCCTCCTACACAACCCCAACTGGGGCCGGGGATGAACCACAACCAAGGTACGTGCCCTTAGCGGGAACCGAACCTGGGACTCTCTGGTCTGCGGGCCAATGCTCTAAATGCTGAGCCAAACGGGCCAGGGCTGCTTTTTATTTTTATTATTTTATTTTTTAATCCTCACCCGAGGATATTTTTCCATTGATTTTTTCAGACAGAGTAGGAGGGAGCGAGGGAGGAAGAGAGAGGAAGAGAGAAACATTGATGTGAGAGACACACATGGATTAGTTTCCTCCTGAATGACCCTGACCAGGGTTAGGGATCAAACCGCAACTAAGGTACATGCCCTTGACCGGAATTGAACCTGCGACTCTTTGGTCTGCGGGCCAATGCTCTAACTGCTGAGCAAAACCGTCCGGGGATGCTTTTTATCTACTTTTAGAAACATAATGCACACTCTTGAAATCATCATCATCGCCATCACCCACCCCCAACCCAAGAAGTAGAACAGTCATGATGACATCCATCCATCTCAGCACACCCCTCCTGCGCCAGCCTGGGGCTCCCCTCTGGGAGGTAACCACGGTGCCGAATTGTCTACTGCCTCTTCCCTTTCCCACCGGCTCTACACTTAAATTATATTTAGTTTATTCAGGTCTCTCCTATGGCTGCATGGGACACAGTGCATCTTCACTGCTGTGGACTGCGCTGTTGTCCAAGTTGCCCACAGCTCACGCTTTCCCTCATCTGCTTCCCTTTCTCGAGTTACTAGTAATGTGCTACAAGCAGCCCTAATTCTTGTATGCGCCTCCGGGCACACGGATGCCACACTCCCACGCGTAGGAACAGATACTAGGGAATAGGGAATTTGGATGTTCAACTTTACACGATGGTATAAAGTTGTTTTCCAAAGTGGTTGAACCGATTTCATATCCACAAGCAACGTAAAAAGAGATGTTTGATCTACTTGTTCCCCAACCTTTGGCATTCTTAGATTTCTTAAATGTTGTCCACTAATCACTCATTGTCATACAAAAGTTCCAACGGGTGTGGCGCTGTGTTCTCAGCGGCCCATCCAATGTGAAAAAAGGTTTTTTTCCTACAAAATATGTCTTCAAGAAAACACACCTCCCATCCTCCCATCGCAGCCTCATCGGAGCGTGTGTCCCAGCTGCTGCAACGCCCTGGAACGAGGCGCCCAGCGCCGGCCATTCATTCTCTCGGTGGGTGGAAAGATACTCACTGGGAAAGAGAAGGGCCTGCTCCCTTGTCACCCAGAGGACATCGGTCTCTGGTGTGAACAGGAGACTCACGCTCATTAAACGCAGATGCCCAGTCAGCCGAGGCTCTGGAAGGCAGAGCGGACACTTCCAACTGGGTGCTCCGTTCGGTGGGAGCCCGGGTGAGACAGATCTGTTCCTGAAGGGGGCTGCAAGCCAGAGTTGTTCTTTTTTTAATGAAAGCATCTTCTAAATATGCCAGAGAAGCCTGCTATTTATTTATTTATTTATTTTTCTATTTATCATCAGATAGAGTGGGAGGGAGGGACAGAGAGCAAGAAACACTGATGTGATAGAGCCACATCAACTGGCTGCCTCCCGCAGGACCCAACCAGGGCCGGGGACTAACTGCAACCGAGGTACATACCCTTGATGGGAATCGAACCCCAAGACTCATTGGTCTGCGGGCCGACACTCTACCATTGAGCCTAACCAGCCAGGGCAAAGCTGGCTATTTAATGGGAGCTTAGGCCCGGCTGCTGTGGCTCACTGGTTGAGCATCGACCCATGCACCAAGAGGTCACCGGTTGAATCCGGGCACAGGCCCAGGTTGTGGACCTGATCCCCAGTGGGGGACATGCAAGAGGGGGCCAGTCAATGTTCTCTCTCATCGATGTTTCTATCTCTCTCTCCCTCTTCCTCTCTGTCCCTTTTAAAATCAATCAATCAATCAATCAATCAATCAATCAATCAATAAAGGGAGCTTAGTATGATTTCTTTTATAAAATAAATAATCACTAATTTTCCTATGACCATATCTGGATTCTCAGATACTAAATTTATATAAAATAGGGTACAAGTTTAAGTAAACTTGAAAAGGAGTAAAAAGAAAAACAACTTTCTATCTCATTATAGAATTAAAAAGCCCACGTTGATTAGAATGGCTGTCTCGCTCAGCTTCTCGGGTATAAAACGCTCTTGGGAAGTGCTGACTTGTAGTCTTATTCCTTGGTAAATACGGCATCTCTCCCCACTTTGTGATTATTAACTCTTAGTTATTTAAAGGCGCCACACACCTCTATAAATTGCTTGTTGGTGCTGTTCCATGTCATCTGGTTCACGCCACTTAATGCCTCTATTAACCACATTTCCCCCTTTACTTATCAAAGGATACTGTCCAGAATTAGCTTGGTGAGAGCCTGGTATGCCGACAAATCACACATTTCAGAAATCTGGTTGTAGGAAAAATCCACCTTCTGAGGAGAAAAAGGAACAATGTCACACTTTGTCGTCCGTCTAAACCACGGTAAGAAAGGCCCAGCAGGCACGTGTTTCTGGGTGTAGGGTTAGAATTCTCTCCTGCAAACATGTTCATCCCTAGTTTGTCACTGCCTGCCTGGGGCCCCGTCTGTCCCCCTGAGAGACCCTGGAGACCCCCTCCCTGTGGACGGAGAGACGCCCCATGACCCACACACTTGTCCTGCGGCTGTGCGCTCCGTTTCGGCATTTGTTCAAACGTCCTTGGCCTCCCTTCAGGATTTCCCTCGGCCCCACCCGTACCCCTTTTTCTTCCAGACCACTAATGCCAGCCACTGCATTCCCTTGGTTTACCACATATCTCGTCTCCCTTTTCTAGCTTTATCTCGGTACATTCCCCACATCACCCCCGAATGCCAGAGAGATCTGCCTAGTTCATCCCTCGGGCCCTGCCTCTGCCACTCAGCACTGCGTGAGGAGAGCGTGCTCAGCAACTCGTTGTCCCTGCTCAGAACCATGAGATTACAGAGGCACGGCATCAAATAACTTCATCTAATTATTTGCCTACCAGCAAAGGATAAACAAAAGTGATTTTTTAAATAAAAAGGAAAAAATATCCTAATTTTGTTGAAACACTGCACTGATAATTTACAGGACACGTTAAAACCATTTTCTGGAAAACTATGAAGCAATTATACAACAGGCAATATTCTTTCTTATCTTTTCGTACCCTTTGAAACAGTGATTCCATGGGGCAGTCCCAGAGACGTGGAAGTGGGGTACAGACTGACAATCCCCAGAAGAGGGGGTGGTAGGGGAGAGATAAACCACAGAACTTATATGCATGTGTGCATGACCAATGGACATGGACAACAAACTGGGGACAGCGTGGGGGGGGGAAGGGGGAATCAGTGGGGGGAAAAGGAGAAACATCTGTAACAAAAATTAATTAATAAAAAACAAAACAAAACAGTGATTCCATCCCCCAAAATGTACTATGGTTATTTTATTGATGCGTTAAATACTAGATACTTTAAATACTAAAATCTTTAGACACTGGATTCTTTTAAAAAAAGAAAAATTGGCAACAACTGAAGTAGCGAGAGCAGAAAACTGGCCAAGCCGATTGCAGTGTAGCGTTAGAACCAGATACACACCTAGTAAAATACAAGCGTGTGAACCACAGGGAGAACAGAAATGTGCAAACTAAACTGTGTTAAGTAAAAAAAAAATCAGACCACAAAACATTGGGCATATACAAACTGCAAACATGTAAATCATATCACGACTGAAGCAAGACGTCAGTCTGGCATGATGTCGATGGAGTTTCATGCTCGCTTTTTAAATATATATATATATATAAATAATGATAAACTAAAAATAAACATAATTATCTGATCTCACTTCAAACTGGCACTTTTTCATCAACACCTTTCATTTGGTCGTGTGTGTCTCCGGTGACGTGTGTCCAGCCCCCCGCCGGGGCTGTGTGTCAGTCCTTAGCCCTCCGTGCACTGCCACCAGGTGTGCCGAGAGACCCGAAAGGCTGAGGTTGCTCTGCCTCCCGCGGGGAGTCCCACTGGCTCCCAGAGCTTGTAGGAGGCGCCCCACAAATCAAAGGAACCTTCTTCCCCTACTAGGGGCAAAAACATTCTAGGAAACGCAATGAGTGAAGCACAAGCCCCTGCTCTCCAGGACACGTGGGCTCCCTCTGGCTGGTGGCACAGGCTCGGAGAGAACAAGTAAAAGGGAAGCAGAGCTTCCCCAGAGGGTGGGACACTGCACGCCAGCCTGACTTACTGGGAAGACATGGGCCGTGGGACTCATACAGCAGGTTCAACCCCAGCCCTGCGGACTCCCAGTGAAGACAGTTACTTAACCTTTCTGTGCGTCAGCGTCCTCCTCTGTAAAATGGGGCCGTTCCAGCTGCCTCACAGCTCTGAGTCAATAGGATACTGCTCTGAAAACACCAAGGGGCCTCAGCTCTCCCCTCCCAGGCTCACGCGAGTTCTCCTGGCCCCTCGTCGGGCGGCCTGGCATTTCTCCAAAGTTCCCAATATATTTGCTCTCATTTTCCAGGAACGTTAACGATGGGGTATCTGCCTTAGTGATCGACACTATGGACTTGGGGTAACACCGATGTGTCAATGTAGGTTCACAGCTGTAACAAATGGACCGGTCTGGTGCGGGACATCGATCGTGGGGAGGCTGTCTGGGGGCAGGAGGCACACGGAAATCTTTACACCTGCCTCTCATTTTTGCCGTGAACCTAAAACTGCTCTAAGCAACGACAGAAAGCCGGGGTATCTGATTTGATGTTCATTTGCAGAGTCTTTTCTGAGAGGGTGAGGTACGGGTGTGCGTGGGAGACACTCCATGGACGGTCTTCCCAGGGCAGAGGTCGCACTGACTCCCTGGGGCCTCGGGCAGAGCGGGGAAGCCAAGGAGGGAGACGAAACAGGTCTGCCCAGGAACCTGGAGACCGTGTGACCACATGGGCATGGACAGGCATCCAGTGCAGCTAGCTCGGGCAGAGGAATGTCGCCATGGCGCCACCGTGTTTTCAAAGGGGACAGAAATCACCCCTAATGATAAGAGTGGAGTGATGGGAACAATGGGATGTAAGAAGACTGTCTCACTGGTAGGAGGGACATCAGATTCTTGATTTCATATTTCTACAAACGTTGGCAGAATACTTTGGACCTAAGTTAATCTGATTTTCAAACAAAATGAAACCAGTAGCTAATAAGCAATGGTTGATGCCCATTCCCAAAAGTAAGTTTTAAGTTAAATATTGAGGCCGGTGGAGGAACACTGATCCCAAGCTCTGTGGCACTGGTTCCCAAACTTGTCAGCACATTCGAGTCCCCAAATCCAGTCACTGCTTGGCCACTTGAATCCGAATCTGGCAGCAGCAGTGGTTTTAAAACTCCCCAGGTGACTGCACCGTGCAGAAAAGTGTGGGAACCAGCATCCATGACCTCTCTGCCTACATGGTCCATGGACTGGCAGCAACACCACCCCCTGGAAATCACCCTCCCCGGCCCCGCCCCAGACTTCCTGGTCAGAATCTCATCGCCACAAGAGCCCTGATGAGCTGTGTGCACCGGGCAGGTCACAGCCCAGGGCCCTACAGCAGAGCGAGCTGCAGTACCCACCACTGCTCACAGGGCCCGAGTCTGCCCCAGAAATGGGAAAGCAACTGCAGAGAGGTAAACGTGGAGACCTGAAGCCACCACTTCCTAAGAAAACCAAGGGCTGGATCCATGAGGGCAAACTCTGACCCCCGGAAACCGGTACGGATCTTTCACATTAACACGATTCTGCTGTCATAAAAGCTCATTTAAGAACTAGTATTTAAATCAGAGAGCAAGAGAACAGAAGGAAGCTGGTTCTTTGGTTTGAACGCTAGGTGTTAGCAAAGTTTCCTGAGAAGATTCTCCATTGGCACACCGGCTCTCTTTTCCAAAATAAATACCCCAAAGCCGTCTCCCTTTCATTTCATTTCACATATTTACACTATTTACCCCACCTCTTATTCAATCTGAATTTCCAGTGTTAGTGCCATTTTGCTTATTAATTACTTTGCAAACCAGTTAACATACGCAATTGGTGTATCGATGAAATCTACCTTGAGATTTTGGGGTGGCTTGAAATCGAAGAATGTAGTCAGTTTATTCTGAGAAGCGTTGAGTTCTAGAAGATAAGGCATACAACTCACACAAGACAAATCTGGGGAGAAAAAGAAACACATAATAAGGTAAGGCAGCACATAAAAGCTGGGCAAAGTCCTTAGAAACAGCATACATTACGCGAGAACACGTTGAAACCATGCCAGAGGCAAGCACGTCTCAGTCACTCCAGGTGAGCGAAGTGAACAGGGTGTGACACACGCACATACACGCACACACGCGCAGAACACTCCCTATGAGCCAGTGCTTGAACCTTCCTCCCAGGGCCTCCCAGCCCCTCCATCCCCCTTTTCCAGGACGGCCACGTAACAAACAGCCGAGGCCTCCTCGGTGTCCCAGCTCACTCCACCTGTCCAAAGCTTCAAAAACTGCCAGCCCTATTCACTTATTTGTGGAATATAATGAACAAAACAAACTGATGAACAAAATAGACCAAGAGACATAGAGGTAGGGTACAGACTGACAAGCCTCAGAAGAGGGGGTGGGGGGAGGGGGGAGGTAAACCACAGAACTTAGATGCCTGTACGCATAACCATGGACACAGACAGCAGTGCTAGGGTGGGGGGTGGGGGTGGGGTGGAGGATGTCAATGGAGGGAAAAGGAGAAACATCTGTAACAAAAATAAATTAATAAAACAATTAAAATAAATAAATTAATTAAATGCTTTAAAAAAATACTGCCAGACCTGGAGGAAAGGACGAGAAACTAAGGCCATATATAATCCTCTTGATAATTCGCCCCTATATAATCCTCTTGAATTAGGTCTTTTCAGGAAGGCTGGAAATGCCAGTTAGAGAACTTTCTTCACTATAAATTGTGTTTTATTTGGACTCCATCCTAAATCTCATTCATTCCTTGAAGCGATTTAAATTATCGCTGTTATGCCCTGGCCGGTTTGGCTCAGCGGTTAGAGCGTTGGCCTGTGGTCTGGAGAGACCCGGGTTCGGTTCCCGCTAAGGGCATGTACCTTGGTTGCAGTTTGTCCCCGGCCCTGGTCGGTCGTGTGGGTGGCAGCCACTCGATGTGTCCCTTTCACATCGATGTCTCTCTCTCTCTCTCACTCCCTCCCACTCTACCTGAACAAAAAATGTCCTTGGGTGAGGATAAAAAAAAAAAAAAGAAAAGAAAAAGAAAAAAAATAAATAAATAAATTATCGCTGTTATTTTACTTTGACTCTGGATCAGCCCAAATGTATGTGTGAGTTTTCCGTTTTATCCCAAGCAAATAGTCTGAGCCTCAGACACTAAGTCAAGGACTGTAGTGGTAATATTCACTCCTAATGAAACGACACATAAAACACAAAAAACGAAGTTGCCGTCTGTGGCCACTTTGCCACAGACGTGCCTCGGGGCAGGAGGAGATGGGTCTGGGGAGAACCCGGTTAGGCCTTGCCGCCCAGGGCCTTGTCCTCCCCCTGAAAACGGTAGTGACAACGTCTCCCACTGTCCTGGGTCACGGGACCTGCGGATACAGTCCCTGGAGCCAGGAGATCCCCACCGGTTTCCACTTGGGTCCGCTGGCCTAGAGCACACCTCCTTCAGCCCTTGCAGGCAGGACAGTCCCCTGAAACATCAACCCTTCGGGGGGTTAATGAGCGAGTCAAGGAGGGTGGCCTGTGAGGAACACCTATGGAGAAAGGGTGTTGCCTTCCAAGTGTCCTGTCTGTCCGCTCCGAGCTCTGTGGCTCAGCTCTGCTGACTCCCACCAGCCCCTGTACCCCTGGAACTGATCTTTCTGTGGGCAGGCGAGGGCCGTACCGTGGAGTTCTGTCTCCAGGCAGAAGCAGCAGCAGCAGCTACCACTAGATGGAGATGAAGAGATGACAAGTACATGTCACAGTGGGTAGAGGGCCAGTGCTTTCAAATCACTGACGGAAAAAGTCACAGTCTGGGTTGCTGGGCTTCTTCTAACCTCAGGCCTGTTAATTCCCTGCTCGGTGTAATGACCTCTATGTCCACCAGATGGCAGGAGCACCTTGCGGCTACTACATCCGTGGTTCCCAAAGTGTGGTCCAGGACCAGCTTCACTAGGGAACTAACTAGAAATGCAACTTCTTAATTCCCACCCCAGGTCTGCTGAATCTGACACTCTGAGGGTGGGGCACAGCTCCCACCCCCACACCCCAGGTGATCCTGATGCAGATTGGTCTACATCAGTGCATCAATAACACCATCTTCACAACTACAGAAATCTACTGTACTTTATAGACAGTGTAGGCTCTCAAACACTTGACGAGTTAATAAAACAGGCTGTAAAAGATGGGAGAAGACTGATCTGAAGAGGGAAGCTTCATTCGCAAGTGTGAGCTCCCTGCTCAGTGACAAGGGGGCGAAGACACACCTCTTCTCTCTTCCCCTGAACTAGCGTTACTGGAGCCACCCAGAATCCTTATCCAGTCAATGAAACCAGCCTTGGAGGTGTGGGGTCGGGCGAGCTCCTGCCAGTAATGCTAAAAAAGTCTTTCTGATGCTATGATAGCTGAGATTTCCTTTAAAATAATCCTGGGGAGGGGGCGGGGAGGTAGAGACGAGGCAACATAGGCTGGTCATTGTTGAACCTGACTATTCATGACGGTAGGCTCTCTACTTATTCACATCTTTGTGATTTTTCATAATAAAGTGTTATACAAATGTGGGAGAAAGTCTTTCAAAACAGTAGCATTTTGCCTGACTGGTGCGGCTTAGTGGATTGAGCATCCTCCCATGGACTGAGAGGTCTCGGTTGGATTCCCAGTCAGGGTACATGTCTGGGTTGTGGGCTTGATCCCCAGCAGGGGGCGTGCAGAAGGCAGCTGATCGATGTTTCTCACATCAATGGTTTTTTTTTTTCTTTTAGTTTTTTTTTAATCTTCACCCAAGGAAATTTTTCCACTTATCTTCAGATAGAGTGTGGTGGGGGAGGGGGGAGAAAGAGAGAAACATCAATGTGAGAAAGACATTGACTGGTTGCCTGCCCCCCGCCACGGCAGACCAGGGCTAGGGACCGAACAGCAACCAAGGTACATGCCCTTGACTGGAATCGAACCCACAACTCTTTGGTCCACAGGCTAATACTCTAACCACTTAAGCCCAACCAGCCAGGGCTCACATCTATTTTTCTATCTCTCTCTCTAAAAAAAAATATATATATATATATATAGAGAGAGAGAGAGAGAGAGAGAGAGCCTATATATATATATATTTTTTTACATATATATATTTTAAAAGAACCTAAAAAAAAGTAGCATTTTCAGAAAAAATATGCTAGAATATTTCTTAGCCATTGAAATAAAAGTGGATTTTTATTATTGCAGTCATATGAGGCAAAAATCTTAAAATGAGCCAGAGAAGACCATATCAGCAAAACTGAAGACAAACTAAAGAAGAGAGAAGAAGGTTTATCAGTAAAGAAAGCAGAAAAAAGGACTTCCTTCCTTAGAAGTCTGAAGAAAAGACTTTGTACACTTTAACCTCAAATAAGATCAGAATTTTAGAAACAAGGATCAAGGTTTCAAGAAAATGTAACTAATTTCATTAAATGTGAACAAGGTGTCACAACAGAGAGACTATCTAGAACTCGAAATGTCAAAATCAATAGTTTAAAGAATCAACTAAATATATAGAGAGAGCAAAAATAAAGGAAAAAATTAATCTGTGAATTCCTTGAGCTCGAACAAGTAGATGGCCAGGAATAAATGTTGATGCAAATGCAAAATAAAGGAAAGAGTCCATTAAAGGGGGGGGCGGTGTGAATTCATCTTTACTGAATAAACTAGAAGAGGGAAAGAAAAGGGAGCGGTGGAATATTCAGGAAGCATTAAAGAAGTAAGGGTCCGTCTCTTAAAAGGCCAAAGCAGACCTCCCGGCTGGTTCTCTCAGCCACAGCATAATGCTGCAGGTGCACTGACCTTGACATTTTCCTTAGTCACCAGCAGTTAGTGCCTTTTTCACATGGAAAGCACTGGATCGAGATGTCAATGGATCCCCGACAGTATTTGTATCAAGTTTGTACATTAAACTACATTACATACTGCAAAGGTTACATTTTGAAATGACTCGGTATCCATCAATTTACGACAATGACAATGACATACCTTCAATTTTATTCACTGAAAGATCCAACTTCTGTAGGTGAACATATCCACAGAGGATGCTAATGTCAACTAAGTCATAATCCTGAGAAAATAAAAGGTAAAAGACTTTAATGTTGCCTTTACTGGTTAGTATACAGCCTTCTCACGATGTCTAGAAATAACAGTTGACAAAAGAAACCCAGAATTTCTTTCATAAAATAGAGTCAAAGTGATAGGACCAAAACCTGAAGCCAACTGCTAATAGGATCTCCAAACAGACTATATGCCCGTTGAAGAACGCATTCCTCTGATGCAAATAATAGCTTAGAAAACCAGTGTTGTTAGTGAGAGCAAATACCACGTGAAAAGGCAAATTAAAGAGTGCCATGAGGACCTTTAAAGCAGAGTTTATATTAAAAAACATGTAACAGCAATAAAGCCACAGCCTTTTTCTGGTTGAAGAATTCCGCCTAGAATTTAAATGCAGTGTTAAAGCGAGCTCACACCTAATCGGACCGTTAATTACAACACTGCCCACATTCTCACGGGATCATTTTCAGATCTCCCCACAAGTGATCCCATCTGACCAAACACACCTGGGAGATCCCCAGGACAGAGTATTCCCACTTCAGAGAAGAGGAATCCGAGGTACAGAGAGGCGTGTAAATAGCCTAAAATCACATAGCGAGTTAGTGACAGAGAAGCAGACCCAAGTCTCCGGAACGATTTTCCAACATTCCTTCCATGACATCCTGCTTCTAGTGACCTTCAACAGGGGCAGGCGGGGTGTTTGGTCCCTTGGAACAAGGACTCATATTGTTGGCTTATGTCGTGATGTCAGAGTCAGAAAAAGCCAACCACTAAGTATCATCATAAGCAAGTTCTCAAATATAACAACAGTGTTTAATAAAGGCCACTAGATCCCGGCCGGTGTGGCTCAGTGGTGAGTGTCAACCCATGCACCAAGAGGTCACCAGTTCGATTCCTGGTCAGGGCACATGCCCAGATTATGGGCTTGATCCCCAGTGGGGGCATGCAGGAGGTGACCAATTAATGTTCTCTCTCATCGATGCTTGGCACAATGAAAACTACAATAATGAAATAGAGCCATACTGGGCTCTTAAGAAAACGATGACTCTGGTAAGAGAGAAGCTACATACACAAACAATAAGAGAAAGTAAAAAATAACATATGACATTACTAAGACATTGGGGGGGTGCAGGAATCACTAAACCAGAGAACCCTAAGAAAGTGTATTCAGTAAGACAGCTTATGAAGACAAAGTAATTCAACCTGTAATATTTCAAATGTAAGGAGGCCAGTGGTAAAGTAAGTTAAGCTTCAGCCCATCTGGCTGAAATAAGATTTAAAGAATTGCTTTTTTTGGTAGATCAATTTAAGGCACAGTGCTACGTACATAAGTAGAATATTGATCGGAAGGGACTTGTGTGGGGATGTACTGGCTGCTGGAATTACCCACCGTCCCACTGCCTAACACAGTGCAATTCACACAGGGTGCTCCTTGTATGATTGCCCGACTGGCTGAGTCATCCATAAAATGTTATAAAGTGCAAATAGGAAAAGATGAGAGCCTTTATATGCTATTCTCAAAGGATATGCCGTGGAGCCAGCGTGGGTACAAAGAGCTCCAGGCTTCTTGGATAGTTCACTAGTTCAAATCCGCGACACAGCCGCCGGACCATGAGTTTTATACACTTGAGCCAGATTTTGGTGCCGTAGCAAAATTCCAGTGTGTTTTTTCACCTATTAGTCTGCATTTACTCCAGAAATACTTAATGCTTTATGATGTAAGGAGGCAAAAAGAGTGAAATTGTTTTTCTAGGGCTATAGAAAAACAAAAAGGCAGAGAAGCTGAAGTATTCCGAGGATTCTTGTCTTATGATAAAATTGGAGCCAAGATTGTGTGCTACACTCTGACAAGTACCTAAATCTTGAAAGCTGATGACTAACAATGCATTTTTCCCAGTAATGATAGGTATCTTTGGGGAAGGGAGCGAGAGCGCAAAGCTGCTTCCTTCTTGCCCTACCAGGGGGGAGAGAGTCGATACCAAAATCCTTTGTTCCCCTGGATCCAGACATAAATTTTCGTCTTGGCACTGATCAGAGAGAAAATTCTTGAGAAGTTTTTGATTAGTGTTACAGAATCAAATTCAACCTTCTGGAAGGAAGGCATTGATTGCTATAAAATAGACTACTTAAGATGAAAGAAACAGACTGTGAAGGGAATGAAACAAAGGAATTTGAGAAGCTGATTATTGGACTGGCCAGGGCTCTTTGATGTCTAACATTTACATAAATAACTCTTCTCTCCAGTCTCTATCCAACGCAAGGCGCTGAGGGTTGGGGCCACCCCAAAAGCTATGCATGCCAGGAAGAACGCATATGGCCCACCCAGTGTCAAGACGTAGCCAGACCATGGTGACATGGTCACACTCACCGATAAAGTCAGATTGAGGTAGACCTGCTCAGTCCCAGAACCTGAGCGCCCCAACTGGTAGAGCGCCTTAGCCACCATCTCCTCTCTCAGGACGCCATCAAATTCCTCCTGCAAAAAAAGTCAGGAGAGGTAGACAAAGAGGACTTCCCGTTGACCAAAAACCAAGCCAGCTCATCAGATCCAGCACTTATTCAGTATGTTATATATCCAGGAGCTGAGCCCTCCAAAATTTACCAGCCCCCCAAAGAATTCTGGGTTGAAGACATAGAGATGATATATGATTAAATCAATATCTATCAAATCAGTGCTTTCATTGCTACTGCATGTTCAGGTGGTCACTTGCATTAGGGCCTCAAAGTGGAATAATACAGCAGTAGCATCCGTACTAGTGGTGACAGTTACACTGATTGTGTCTCCTTTGCAGGCACTGTGCTAAGGACTCTCAAGGGATCAACTCGTTTCCTCCTCCTGAAGACCCACCCATGGGCCTATGAAGGTTAATTTGCCCAAAACCACATAGCTAATATGTGACAGAGCCAAGACAGAACCCAAATCTGTCTGACCCCAGGGCCACTGTAACCACGACACGGACCGCCTGTCCACACCCTGAAGGCTGCTTCTGTCCAATGAAAGCACAGACGTCTCTGAATCTGGTATTCTTGCTGGAGGACACAGGTCTTCAGTTAGCTTCCTACTGGCTAAGTTTGCTGGATTCACACAATTTACTAGATTTATTGAAAGGGTAATCACTGCCCTGGCGGGTTTGGCTCAGCTGTTACAGAGTCAGCTGCGGACCAGAGAGTGCCAAGTTCGGTTCCCGCTAAGGGCACGTACCTCGGCTGCAGTTTGTCCCCGGCCCCTTTTGGGGTCATGTGGGTGGTGACCACCGATGTGCCTCTCTCACACCGATGTTTCTCTCTCTCTCTTCCCTCTTCCTGCTCTATCTGAAGATAAATGCAAAAATGTCCTTGGGTGAGGATAAAAATAAATAAATAAATAGGTAATACTCATTTCCATAAGGAGGTTGGCCCTTGGTCTGTAGACAGCTGGGGACCAGTGGTGACAGAAAGAAGAGACAACAGGTGGGCGAGCGCTGGGTGTGTGCTGCCGTCGGCTCCCTCACGCCCCACACGCTGACACTAACGTCACCATGGGGCAGAAAGGCAGAAACCACACAGGTCCACGTGTAACTAGCGAGCCCGGGACTGTGACGGCAGAATGTCCTCTCGGGTTTCTCCGTGAACCCAGGGACCGGGAGAGCTGCTCCAGCTGCTGCCTGGGGCGCAGGGGGAGGCTCACGCTGCCTGAGGGTTTCCTTTCTCCCCAAGTGCGCACTGACCCGGGGAGAGCGCACGGGCCGGGGGCTGGGCTTCGAACCCCGGATCTGCCCTTTTGGGTACATGCCTTTGGGCAGATAAAGTTCTCTCTTAGCCTCAGAGTCTTCATCTGTAAATGAGAAATATTATCTTCTCTTAATGTTTTGGGGAGAATGAAAAAAAAATAGTCTGTAAAGGTCTTAACACGATGGCTAGACTATAGCAAGTGTTCCCAATAAATGACAGGTGTTACTACTAATTGATGAAGTCAGAAATCCCACGTTTTACTTTAGAGAGTGTGAAGGGGGTGTGTGTGGGAGGAGAGAAACACTGATGTGAGAGACACATCGACTGGCTGCCTCCTGGACGACCTCGAGACCTGAGACCGAGATCAAATCTACAACCCAGGGATCAACCCCGTGACCCTTCGGTGCACGGGCTGACGCCCTAACCACCGCCCAGGGCAGACATCTCACATCTTAATGTTTCATTCATCCATACCAACCAACCTGTTCACAAAGTGGGGCAAGATACTTACTTTTCTAAATAAAGTTCTAATTTCTTATAAAAGACCTGGGAAGGGATAGAGGTGGGAGTGTCACCTTCCCTCCAAAACTTTTCACCTGAACCTCTGAAATTTACCCGACCCAGCCCCTCCATTTCCGGGATAAGAGAAGATGCTGGGTTTCAGTGTAGCCATTGATGTGAGACCAGCGGCCCAGATCCCCGAGGCAAGACTCCCCACGCAACGCCCTCACCCCTCCTTGGAGGTCCCTGCCCTTTGTCGGTATCACGCTTTTGACCTCTGGTCTTTGGTCATTTTCAGTCCTTTTATGCCCTGTCCCTCTCTTGGGGGCTTGGAGTCCCCAGGGATGGCCATTCAGCACCCCCGCTACTCCAGCACACAACACAGTATGACTTCCTCAACTTCAGACACCTTCAGATTGATTTCCACCCAACTTCAGCCCCTGACTCCCACGACCATGCCCTGGACCTGGTCATCATGCTAACCTGCTCCAGCCTAGAAATCTCAAACCCCACGATTCCAACACTCGCTGATCCCACAAGTGCTATCCTTCAACCTTCCAACACCTACCGCACCTGTTCTTGGACCACGACAGGCTCTCAGACGGTTCCCTTCTGAGTCTCCTGTCCGCTCCGGACTACACTTCTGTCCCTGCTGGGTATCCCATGAGCAATTTCAATGTCTCTACACGCAAGGGTCTGCCTCCCGATGGCAGCCACCACACACATACGCAAATCTGAACTGAGTTTACCAGCAGCACCAGGCAGGGGTTGTGTCCTGCTCGTCACACGTGGACGAGGACACAAGCAATTTCAGGACTTGGATAAATATTACAATAGAGGTAAGCGGGGCGTGTTGACTATAAACAGGGCGTCCTCCTGGGCATTTCTAATGGGGGGAGCAGGAGAGTAAAAGGCTTCCTCGGGGAGAGGGCGATTCAGGTGAGACCCGAAGCTGTGAGTTATCCTGGAAAGGGGAAGAAAGGGCAGAAGAGAGGGCCCAGAGGGCGCTGCAGGCAGAAGGGGAAACGTGCACGAACTCACAAGGGCAAAGGCACAGCCCATTGGGGGAACTGCGAAGAATTCCAAGGAGCTGAGGCGTAAAGTGGGAAGGGGAGTTCAGTCCTAGTACAAACACAGGTTGAAGAATTAATGAACCCACTCTCCCCGAGTTGCTGAGCGGGCTGGGAAAGGCCCCAGACCGTGAGTTCTGGGGCCACTGTAAAGCCCCCCCCCCCCCCCCCCCCCCCCCCCGCTCCTGGTAGCTGGGTCTGGGGGCGTCGGTCCGCCTCTCTTCCTCAGCCGCCTTTCCACTCCCGCCTTCCCTGGTCAGAAGTCCCTCTCCGGGAGCTGTCCAGCGCTCCACCCTTTGGCCCGGCAGACACCACCGGACACTGACCCTCCATGTTCTGCACCTGCCCTCCTGCTCCGCACCGGGGTCTCAGAGAAGGCCTCCACCTCGGGTCCCACTCCCTCTGTTTCCTCAGGGACCGTCAGCTTCGCCCTCTGTGGCCTGGATTTCAACCAGTCACTCTCCAGCCATACAAGTTGTGAGTGTGTTCTGTCCTCAAAGGGCTCCCCTTCCGTTCTGCATGTTCCGCTGTCTATACCCATCAGCTCCCTTAGTAACCAAGCGCCTCTAGAGTTGCCTTCTCATCCTGTAGTTACCCTCCTCGCCTCCGGCTCCCCTCCCTCGCCTCCGGTTCCCCTCCCTCACCTACAGCTCCCCTCCCTCACCTACAGCTCCCCTCCCCCGCCTCCGGCTCCCCTCCCCCGCCTCCAGCTCCCCTTCCTCGCCTCCAGCTCCCCTTGCCTCCAGCTCCCCTTCCTCACCTACAGCTCCCCTCCCTCGCCTCCAGCTCCCCTTCCTCACCTACAGCTCCCCTCCCTCGCCTCCGGCTCCCCTGCCTCCCGCTCCCCTTCCTCACCTACAGCTCCCCTTCCTCACCTACAGCTCCCCTTCCTCACCTACGGCTCCCCTCCCTCGCCTCCAGGTCCCCTCCCTCGCCTCCAGTTCCCTCTTCAGCTCGCCGCAGTTCGGCTTCTGCCTTCACACATCACAAACGCCGTGGGCCTCGGTCTCCAGTGACCTTCGGGTGCAAAGCTAACAGGTACTCTTTAGGCCTCTTCCCACTTAACATATTGGCAGCAAAACCATTCCCATGTTCTCAAGACTCTTCCTTGCCTTGGCTTCCCTCTCATACAGCTCTTCTTTCTCCCCCTTCTCTCTCCAGTCCTTTCCTATTTCCTCCCCTAAACCCTCATCTGCCAGCTCCTTCAACACCTGCACCCAGGGGTCTGCGCTTGGCCTTCCTCTCTTCCTGGCCGGTCGCACAGACTCCAATGCCGATGACTCCCAGGTCTCCTGCTTCGAGTCCCGGTATGTTTCAGCCATATGACTCTGTACCCAACTCCCGAATCCACAGCTCTACCTGTTCCTGTTTCCCATCATGGTTAATGGCCTCAATATCCACCACCACCCCCAGACCATGCCATAGACCTCGCTGTCACCCCAGACTTCTACTATTCAATTATGACTGTACCATCGCAAGTAGTTTGCATTTTCATCTTTAGCTTCCGTTCCGTCTACCTCCACTGCCTGACTCCAGACTCTTGTCTCTCCTCCACAGACACTGCTAGTCCTCTCGCTGACCTCCCAGATTCTAGCCTAATCCCACTGGGCCACCAGAGGTCCAAATTCACAGTCCATCCAACAGCACAGAGCCCTCCACAGCTCCACCCCCACCTCAGCTGCTTCGCTCTCACCTGTCACTCACGGTAAGAAGAGCTGCTGTCGCCCTGGCCGGTTTTGCTCAGTGGTTAGAGCGTCAGCCTGCGGTCCACAGAGACCCAGGTTCGGTTCCCGCTAAGGGCATGTACCTTGGCTGCAGTTTGTCCCCGGCCCTGGTTGGGTCGTGTGGGTGGCGGCCACTCGATGTGTCCCTTTCACATCGATGTTTCTCTCTCTTCCTCTCTCTCCTTCCCGCTCTATCTGAGTAAAAATTGGAAAAATGTCCTCGGGTGAGGATAAATAAAAAAAAAAAAAGAGAAGAGCTGCTGTCTGCCTGCCCACCCACCACCTCCCCCCAGACAGGGTCTCGTTTCCTCGAAGTCTTCCATGATCCCTGTAACCCAGCCGCCATCCGTACACGTCCATGTGTATAATACTTCGCACGATGAATAGCTATAATTTTCTCATATTCTTATCTCACCTCGAGAGGGACCCTGTATCTCCTCAATCACGTTCTCACCATCTTCCATCATTACTGTTGCTGTTATGTCTTACGTGTATGACTTTTTGAGAGCCTACTCTGTATCAGACGCGGTATTAAGAACTTCAACATAGTTTCTCATTAAATGTGATGTTTATAACGATCCAGTGAGTAGGCATTATTACCAACACTAGCCACTGGAAAAGAGTGGTTTTCCTGCACCAGACGCACATCATGGGCCCAGACACTTCCTCTGCTCCTCTGGTCAGAGTGCTCCCGACACAGCAGTCATTTGATGTTTGTTCGATGAAGGTTAAATTGATTAAATCACTTAATGGTTTGCAGTTAGCAGATAAAAACACAGAAGCTATTATTTGTATTAGTAACGGTATAAATAATATATTATGCTAAGTAGTTTATCTCATTTAATTCTCACAACTCTCCTATGAGGTACATGGACAAAAAGGGGCCACGTGCTAACCTGACAAGCTCAAGGGAGGCCTGCGTGGCGGCCTTGCAAACTCCGAGACCTCAAGTAACCACAAAGGATGGTCTGAAATGAAAACTTTTTAACTAAAAGCAGTTTATGGCAGGTGGTCATGTCCTAGGCCGGCATCTTCCCTGACAAAGGTCAATCTTTACCTTAACTGAGCCTGTCTGTTGTCTTTTTGCATCTACAATAACCTGTCTTTGAAATGTCGAAGTAATTATCGTTTTTCCAGACCCCTCAAAGCACACACACCCCTCTGTGGTGACCGCAAATCCCTTCATTTTTATCTAGTTAATTGTTGACTGTTAATTATCCTGTACCCACCTACGTAAAAGATGTATGTGTCTATCATTTTACTTTTCATCCAATCCCAGAGGTTTCCCCGCTTTGCTTTCTCCCGCCTCCCTCGTCTACCACCAATGGATTTCATGTAGCCCACTTACATCCTCTCTTTTGACTGTAATGTATAAAATAAGGTGCGAAACTGCCATTCTCTGGAGCATTATCTCAATCCGTTGAGATTTTGCTTCCAGGCAATTGTTGTCAGTTTGGCTGAAATAAACTCACAAAAATTCTTCACAGGTTTGACTGTTTCTTACATTGACGGATAGGTATTATTATAATTCACAAATTACAGATGAGATAGAGAGAGGTAAAGTAAGTTGCTCAAAATCTCACAGCTAACAAAAGGCTTTCCACGAACCAAAGACAGTATTCTGAACAGCTGGTCTGCACTACCTCCCTTAAGACCAGGAGGGCTTTGGAGATTTGAGGCTAATTGCATTACCCGCACTCAGTAATCACTGCGACCATCATGGCGTTATAAATCTTGACGAGGCTAAGACATGGAAAATAAATCACTGAACACAAAAGTTCAAATGTTTCCTTTTAAGCTTTACAGTTCAGTAAATTACAACGTGTGATACTATAAAAAGCTAAAATAGAATGTGAAAACACAAAATAAAGATTAATATTTAGAATGTCAATGGGAGAACTAATAAACTTTCCCCACATGCATCCTATAAGCCAAAAAGGAATAACTACTTCAAGTCATCCCTCTCTACGGTTTGTTAATGGTATACTGAGGACGGATTAACAATGGTACTAATGAACCCCATAGCTTAAAAGCATGCGTTAATTAGAATAATAGAGTGAACTGGTGATTCATTTGTGAATTCCTGGGGGGGAAGCTGGTGGAAACCATACAAACATCTTGAGATCAAACACTGTTTAGTTTCGCAATAGTCACTGTTAAGGGTTGCAAAATAAATCAAAAGATGAACAAATAAGGAATAATTTCCTATAATCCAATTTAAGCAAAAGTAATGCGTAACTAGCCCATGTAAAAAGAGGTAGAAAAAAAGGAAAGGCAGAATGGAGGTGGAAAAAATGGGTTAAATGTTGAAAGTGAACAAAAGGACATTATAAAAGAAGGAAACCCAAGTAGGGTAGTGTAAGTGGCTAATGGTAGAATCAGAGTAACAGAAGATACTGCAGGTTACTGAGGGGAGAATAAGAAATAAGACTCATAGGGAAAGGAGTTTGTGAAAGAGAAAAAACTGAAAGCATTCTATTTCTCAGCATCATATCTACTTCTGAAAAGAAGTTGAAGCAATGTATATTACAAAAGAAGAAGAAAGGAGAAAAACCCCTATCTAAAGAAAAACTGTTGAAATTAAGAAAAAATATTGAGTTGAGTTTCCTGGCAGCGGGACAAAGAGGAAAACCCAAGTTTATTTAAAAGAAGCAAGTCAATTTGTTCTTGAAAGAAAACATATTAGAAGCCAAGAGAAGGAAGTGATGTGGTGAGAAGTGGAAAGGGGCAGAAGACCGGTGACCGGCTGGCGAGGAAATGGTATGAAGGCACGCGTGAGGAAGAAGTGGATTTGGGAGGTGGTTGGAAGAGGTACTGTATTCATGTGAATTTGTAATCAAGGAGAAGGCACAGCACCACCCCAGCCAATGTCCATGGGAATGTTGGGAACATTCTCTGTATCTAAAATACCCCCACAGTGAGGGGTGTGTGTGTGTGTGTGTGTGTGTGTGTGTGTGTGTTGCTTGACAATGTATCATACACCGCTGCTTAGTATTTGAGAAAGCACTTCTTAGATTGTTTCAAAAAAGTGTGTGGGGGGGGGGGAGTCCCTAGAGGAAAGCGGATGAAGGGAGAAGTGGAGGAGGGCCCTGAGTACTACAAGATCATGGGGAAAGGATGCAGGGGGTGTCCGAGGCCACGAACGCCGCCTATTCACAGCACCGTCAAGGGATAATTTGGACAGAGTTGAAGCCATCATTCCCATACAGATACTTTTTCATAACGACGCTACATTACTTGACTCTTAACAAACCAAATGTGCCAAAGCAAATCAAAGAACATACTTGGAGATATTTCTACGACGGGTGAAGAAACGGGGTCACAGAAATGGGAAGAGAAGAGGGGGCACTCGGAGCGTCAGGAAGGGGCACCCGGGAGGCGAAAGCCCAGGGAACAGGCGAAGCCACAGGCACACGAGGGGAGCTGCCAAGGAGTCGCAGGGCCCGGGGCTGGAGAAAAGAGCGAGGGGTGAGGGGTCGGGGAAGGCACACCTCCAAACTCGGTAGCTCGGACTCCGAGGACTCGTCGGATTCCATTTCGTCCTCACCCTCGCCCTCGCCCTCGCCCTCGTATTCCTTTCGCTCTGCGCCCGACTGCTGATAGCGGAGAACGAGCTGCTGGAGCAGGTAGGAGGAGGAGGCTTTGTACGTAGCTTTCAGTTTCTGCCCCATGGGAAAGGACGACCAGCGCCCTTTTGCTGAGCGCAACAGTGTCGACTGGCCTCCTCTGGAGCTGCCCAAGCGTCCCTGGAGAGAGGTAGGCTTGGGCCTCGGGGGATCGCCCCTGGAGGTCGCCATCTTGTTTACCTGGGTTGCTAGGATTCTGGCACTGGGGCGGTGGCGCCGCGAGGGATTCTGGGGGCTGTAGTCTCCCCCGCTCCACAGTCCTAGCCCTCAGTGTGCACCGCGCTGGCACGCGCTTTCCCTTCCTTTTTGTCTGCCTCTTCCTTTTCTGTTTTCTTTCTCTCTCTTTAGTCCATTCAGACTCCGGCTTTTTTTTTTTCTTCTCTCTCGTTTTTCTCGTTTTCGCCTCTTTTTTTACACACCCCTTTTCTTTGTGTCCAGGTGTCTTTTTCCGGGACCTGGAGGCCATTCGTAGAGGTTTTACTCCCCCGCCCCCCCCCCCCCCCATTCGCTCAGCGGTGAGCCCCATCCCGTTTCATTCAGGACGGCTCTTTTTGCAGAGCCGTACTTTGGAAGTGTCGGATGTGTAACACTCTGTCGGAAAACTACATGTTACTCTACGCAGAGCGGCCTTTTGCTGAGCGCAACAAAAGGTGAGGATTGCATAAAAAATAAAAGGCATGGCTCCCGACCTTATGGTTTAATTGCCGATAATAAAGAGAAACTAACAGATAATAACTGAAAGCTGATTTGCAATTAATTTACATTATTTCCCGGACATGATGAGCCATGTCCTTGGGGAGAAAAACTGGCAGTGGTTGAACAACCCAATTCAGGGGGAGAGAGAGAGAGAGAGAGAGAAACTGTCAAATTGACACTACCTGAAAAGCTCCAGAAAAGCTATTAGCACCCCATAAATAACTGTATTAGTCAGGTAACCTGCATTGGTCATTATTTTCGTCTTTTTGCATAGGTTCTCTTTGCAGTTTCATAAAACACTCTTGTAAGATTACAAAGCACGATTTTATGCTAGTGTGATTTTATGTGGCCCAAATCCCATAGCCTTAAGCTCCACAAAGTAGACACTCTATAGAAAAGCAGAATGAAAATTATAGTAACTATTATTGTCATTGTGATGACAGTAGAGATTCTTGCAGGGAAGTTGTCCCCATCCCCCTGGCCTTCCAGGGCCTTTTCTCCACGCCTCAGTGAGAGCAGTTACCACTACAAAATGATCCTGTCGATGGCCGTCAGGAGAGGAGGAAAAATCCGACGGACACCATCCATTGACTATTATCTTTCTCAGTGCTTGAGGGACTGTTAAAACTGCCATAAAGCTTTCAGAATTACCTTCTTCATTATCTTGCTGGTCATAAATGTAAAGGCCACAGTGAAAGTATCTCTTTCTGCTAGGTTCGTCTTGCAGCTTGCTTATTTCTTTTTCCAGTGGGCAGAGACTCCTCCAAGGGGTAGTTGCCCACCCTCACTGCCCCTAGGACCTGGCTCTAGCTAACTGGCATAGGGAGGAGGAGGGGCAGAATATATAAACATGGAAACCCAGTAATTTTTTTTTTCAGTAACTTAATCAGCATTTCTAGCAAAGCAAGTTTTACCTAAGTCAATCTATTAAGGAACATGTCTTAAGGCAGTCAGTTAGGGTCTGTCAAAAAATAATTTTAGAAGAGTTAAAAATATGATTCTCATACAAAAAAAAACAGAATGAAATATGATTTAATTCAACTTGTTCATTAATGAGGAAATGAGTAAGATGGTAACAGGGTATTCATAATCCACAAAGAAAGACATCCTGAAATAAGTTCACTAAAAGATAAAACTGGCCCTGGCCGGATAGATCAGTTGGGCAGAGCATCATCCTAATATGCCAAGGTTGTGGGTTCGATCCGGTCAGAGCACATAAAAGAAGCAACCAATGAATACATAGATGAGTGGAACAATACATTAATGTTTCTCTTTCTCACAATCAATCAATAAAAAAATTATTTTAAAGAGATAAAACTGGTCCAGCTGATGTGGCTCAGTGGTTGAACATCGACCCATGCGCCAAGAGGTCGCCAGTTTGAATCCCAGTAGGGCACATGCCCAGGTTGTGGGCCAAATCCCCAATGGGGGACATGCAGGAGGCAGCCAATCGATGTTCTCTCTCATCGATGTTTCTATCTCTCCCTCCCTCTCTCTCTAAAATCAATAAAAGAAAAAAAAAACTTTTTGTTTTTAAAATATTTTTTTCTTTATTGATTTTAGAGAGAGTGGAAGGGAGAGGGAGAGAGATAGAAACATCGATGAGAGAGAACACCTACTGGCTGCCTCCGGCATGCCCTCCACTGGGGATTGGGCCCACAACCTGGGCATGTGCCCTGACCGGAAATCGAACTGGCGACCTCTTGGTGCAGGGTCGACATTCAACCACTGAGCCACACTGGCTGGGCAGGGGAAAAAAAACTTTTTAAAAAATAAAGAGATAAAATTGGTTCATCCTTCATGACATTAAACCATAACCTTTGGAGTTATAGATTTCATCTTCATGTTTTTCCTTTGTCTTATCCCCATTTAACAGATGGGGTAACTGAGGCCCAGAGAAGTTAAATAACTGGCCCCAAATCAAGTGCTGGTGTTGAAATCCAAGCCTAGAATGACTAACTTCATAGTCTACCTTCAACTACCACGTTTGCAGGTGGAAATGGTGAGGCAAGAGAAAGCTACACAAGAAGTTGCAGAAGAAAAATCCTGTATCAATTAAGGTTCTTAAGTATCAGTAAAAGAAGTCGTTAAGAGAATGACCCTTCATATAGACTCAAAGCATATCAGAACTAGAAAGAACTGCAAAGCCCATCATATCCCAAGAAACTGATGGCCCTCCAGGGACAATAAGTCCCCCCAAAGCACCTCATTTATTAGCAGCAGGGCAGGAATTACAATTGGGGCCTCTCGTTGTTCCACCTTTGCTCTTGCCAGTTCACCAAAATGCTTCCCAGGCTGAAATTTTATCAAGAAACTCCCTACTTTGTGATTTTGGGCATCAAAATTGAAGACATTACTTCTATAAAAGTTATTTTACCAGATAGAGAAGATGGAATCAGGCAAATGGAGAGAAGGTGAGGGAAGGGAATACCTTGCCTAAAGTCTTTCCATTGGCACCAAACATCAATAACTACGTCCATTTATTCACTGCTTATTATAAACCAGGCCTGTGCTACTGCTGTGTGCGTGTGTGTGTGTGTGTGTGTGTGTGTGTGTGTATCAGTTAATTATTCCAACTGCTCTCTTAAATAGAAACTGATATCCCCACTTTACAAAGGAGAAGAACAATGCTCAAAAATGCTAGCAAGTTGCTCAGACACACTATTTGTGTCCAAATCAAAACTGCAGTCCTGGCTGGTCTGGTTCACTGGTTAGAGCACTGGCCCACAGACTGAAGGGTCACAGATTCGATTCCTCATCAAGGGCATGTACTTTGGTTGCAGGTTCTATCCCTGGCCCTGGTCAGGGTCATGCGGGAGGCAACCAATAGATGTGTCTCTCTCACATTGATGTTTCTCTCTCTCTCTCTCTTTCTCTCCTATCCCCTCCCTTCCTTCCATTCTCTCTAAAAAGTCAATGGGAAAATACCCTCAAATGAGGATTAACAAAAACAAAAAACTACAACTCTGTTCTTCCTGGATCCAAAGTCCTTGAACTTAACCTTTACTACTGCATTTTCTCTAGAAGTCTGAATTAGTTTCTCAGGAAGTAATTGTGAGGTACAGAGAGCCTGGCTTTGGTGAGATACTGAAAGTGTGTGTGTGTGTGTGTGTGTGTGTGTGTGTGTGTGTGTGAGCATGCCTAGGGACCAGGTTTCTGGGGTCAGTGAAGTGGAATAGGGTGAGCAAAGGTAGTGGATATGATAATTAAGGACAGCAGGGTCTTCTACTTGGGTGAGAGGACAGAGAAAGTGGAAGAGTCTCACCATGACACCCAAGAGCATCTCTCTTGAGAAGACATCTAGGATAGGCTGTTGGGAGGGGAGAATCCAAGCAGTAAAGAGCTTAAATTTGCAAGAGGGTGCCAACTTCCTTTAGCTACTTGGTAGCTTTGCCCCAGAAGTATTATCTACCCTTACCCCTAAGTTTTCTGTGTAGAGCAATGGTGTCCAGTATGGAGCCATACCCTGATGTAAGACCTTACTCACTGAGAAAGGAAAGAAAAAGCAGGGATGAACCCTCTGTTCTCTGCATTTGGGAAGACAATCTCCCCAGGACTGTAGAAGCAAAGACTATGTGCCCCATAACCCTTTCACTTACCTAAACCCCCTCCCCAATGTTGTGCAAAGGAAAGTAAGTTGAGATGTCAGTGTCTTGAACTCATGATGTTTTCTGTGGAACATTATAATTTTTACAGAATACCATGAAATTGGGAGAACAGATAGGCCATGGAAGGCACCACTGACATAATAAGAACAATGAACCACAACCACGGCTAATGTGTATGAGTAATTTACATGTGCCAGACACCCTTCTAAGTGCTTTACGTGTATTAACTTATTTCAGCCCTATGTGGACCCTGCAAGGTAGAGGTTGAAAGGTCGGAGCGGGCGGGAGATCACATCCACAGCGCAAGGCCAATGTAGAGAAAAATGGCTTTGCTGCATACGCCTAAGGGCAGGCGGGCTGAGCCGAGAAGGGGTCAGCCTCCACTAACAGTTGGGGTGTAGGTTATATACTCTACTTTTAGCTTCCTGCAGTTCCTGCTGACGCACTCTGCCTGGCCCATTGTCCACTTTGCAGTTGGACTGGTCTGGCGTCTCGTCCTGCATCTGCTGGGTGACTCATTACCTTGTGGATAATCCAGATAGTTCTTATCCGTACTCAACAGAAGGCTGAGCAAAGGTCATACAAGCGACAGATTTTTCACAGTTTCTGCCTTTTGCAAGCTTCTACCTTTACCCTTTAAAACGTTACTAACCCTTTCAGAGATTAATATTATCACTATAGTGTAGATGAGAAAGGATAGGCATCGACAGGTTACATAGCCCACTCAACCCACTTTGGCACACAGCTGCAAAATTAGGGCTCAGATGGAGTCTGTTTTCCAGCCCACATCTTAAATCAAAACACTGTATTGTCACTCAACAGCTGTAGTAAAACTTCATGGAGGATGTTACAGACTGACTTACTGTG